ATCTTCTTTGCAGGGTTTGTGGATATTTAGTTGGAAAAAAAAAGTACCCTATTGGAACAAACCAGAGAAATAAAATTGAAAAGGTGTTTTATCAGATGTAACTCAGATGAGATAGAGAATGTTCATCCATTTAACATTTGTAACAAATGTTATGATACGATAAACAATGTCATCAAAAGAATGGCATCGTCAACACATCTTTTAAATATGAACTGGAAACCTCATTCTGATGAATGCTATTGTTGTCAACAGGCAGAAAAACTCAGTAAAAGTGTCAATTTTACTAAATCAATAAAAATGAATAAAAGACTTATTGGTCGCCCTGTTCACCAGGCTGGTGTTTGTGAAAAAGTTTGGTTGTTTTCAATGATTGCTGACATTTAAAAAAGCATTGTTGTAGTACACGACTCAGAAATAAATGTTGAACAGCTAAAAATAAGTTTTATCCACATTTACAGCTTTATGTGGTGAAATACCACAACAACCAATAACTCTAAAAAAAATGCGAACACTTATTTTGTTTTTTTTTGTCTAATATTAGTAAGTGTAGTAATATTTAGTGGCTACATTAAAAATTTACCAATGCATATAATAAGACATCTTGATCAATTAAAAAGGTGATTTTAACAACCAATAATTTACAATTTTGTTTTAAAAATATTTTGTGTCATTTTTCGTGTATATTATTTAAAACTAAAATAATTGCTAATTTATTATTTTATTATATAATTATTTTATAATATACTAGTCACTTATTTAGTAATGTATTATTTTTATGCAGTTGTAAAGGACTTCATTGCCATAATTTTTTTCCTGAAAAAGACATACAAATTAAAATCGGAGGTGATTATGGTAGGGGCAGTTTAAAAATGACTTATCAGGTTGCAAATACCTTAAACCCAAATAAGAATAAGTCAAGAAGGCCTAACGCGTTAGGTCTTCTTGAGGTACCTAAAAATAAAATTAAAAATTTATATATATATATAAAATCTACCGTAAACTTTTTTTCTTATCGAAGTTGTTTGCGTGTATTCTGTAGTTCAATTTTATTTATCTTTTTTCAAAGCTGCTGAACTTACTCCTATTAGACAAGGTGACACATCAGTTAGGTTTTAACAAATTGCAAAATCTTAGAAAACAGTAAGACTTAAAAAACGGCTGACTATAATAAAAAGTTCGATACATTGATATAACATCAACACGTTAGTGATAGCAAATAAAAAAAAACTTATAAGCATCTTGGAAAAAAATAGCAATAATTTTTTTTTTCTTTTTAGGTCCAAAATAAAAAAAATGCGCGTGTATCTTACTTGACAGTCATCCTACAACCTTTTGTTGCGCATTGTATTACCCTCCTAATTTATCTGTTAAATGCTTTGTCATGCGGTGCGCAGTTTTTGAGATATCAAAAATAATCAGAAATTTGTAAATGACCAAGATGTATTGCAAGAGAACTACTCAGTTGACCTAGCTCAGTTGAATTGACGAACTCTCTCGGTTCTGAGCTAGAACTCTAATCGCGGCTTCATATATCTAGCTTGTATCCAGCTTTTATCAAGTTTAAAAAGAAAATTTAATAATAATAATAATAATAACAACAACAATAGCAATGATGACAATTAAAAATGTTAATAAAGTGAGAAGAGCGTCAGCTTTTTACACTTACAATTTATTCGAAAAGTAGTACTCAATGTACTTAACGTAGTTAAAACGAATTCGTAAAACATAAATCAATAATTAAAAAAATCTCATCTTTGACAATCTATAACTTGGATTTTAAATGTAATGAAATTTTTTTTTTTTTTTTTTTTAATATAAATGCATTTGCCACTGGACTTTGTTGCCGTTGAAAAAATTATCCTTATGGCAAAAAAGTTACTATAATGTAAAATTTGTTACACAAATTGTAATTAATAAGAAAATTTATATAAAAGTATATACTTAAGAATATAAGAGTATATACTTAAATTTTTTCAGCATATATTACTAAAAATAAAACTAATAATCTTGTTCACTGTAAGGAATGCTACTAAACATGCTGCGTTAGAATTTCATATCATTTTTAATAAAATAGAAAGTAAAATAGTTTGATGCAGAATAAGGTAGTGTAAGATGGATATTTAAAGAAAAATGCATAATGATTTGCGGTCTTGCCCGCCTGCAAATCATAAAATCTGATAAACACTCTACTTACTAGATAGTTTGGATCCAGTATTATTTTGACCATTTGGTGCATTCGTTAAGAAATGACCATTAGTCTAGTTTGACAAAACTAGACTAAGGGTCTAATGACAAAAATCTTATTGTATAAAAATAATAATACAATATTTTTGTTGTTGTAATATTTGCAAATAAAAAACAGACCACCGAGTTGACTTCTGATAATAGTATATGCATTTGAAACTTATTTAAAGATCGCTATTTTAGACTAAACATCTTTACAGTCTTCTTATAATCATTTTTTTATTGAACTATTTTTTCGTTAAGATTTGTTTTGTTTTTTGCTATTTTTTTAAGCTAAATAAAGATTTTAAAAGTTAAAATTACAATTTCAAGTAACATTCCTTCCCAGCGAGCATTTGTTTTTAAAAGTTACGTTTTAAATGTATTTTAAATGTATTTTAAACATTTTTTAAACATTCTTCCGTAAAGAACGTTTAAAAGACTTTTAGAACGTAACTTTGAAAAACAAATGTCCGCAGGGTTGTTTAATGATTTAATTTGATATTTTGGTGAAAAACGATTCATATAGTGCTACGTTTCCAAATTGCTCTAATGCTAACGATTATGCTCTAATGCCAGGGATAATTGCTTTTCCTAATTCTAAAGATAATAGGAAAGAAAAAAAAATAGCTTCATTTTTTATATAGTATATACTGTATGGTTTGTTAATATATATTAATTAATAGAAACGTCGTTTAATATTGCTTAAAGTTGTTCTTTTTAAAATCTTTAGGGCTAAATCTTTAAGTTACTCCTATTTTTAAAGAAGGGGACAAATCTGAAATCAGTAATTGCCGCCCTATCTCTGTTCTCTCCACATTTTCGAAAATTTTAGAAACAGTTATAGCTAACAGTTTTATGAATCAATTTTAGAAAAAATTATGTTTAACAGAATATACAAATATTTTCATGACTTTACATCGATCAATTTGGTTTCAAGAAAAATAACTCAACTGAACATGCAATTATCCAATTTGTACGTGAAATCTCAAAATCATTCGAAAAATCACAATATACACTAGGAATTTTTATTGACCTATCAAAAGCTTTTGATACGGTCGATCACCATATTTTAATTTATAAAATCAAATACTACGGAATAAAAAATAAAATTTTAAAATGGTTTAAAAGTTATCTATCTAACCGAAAGCAAAATGTACCATTTAACAATGATTACCAAACAAGTTCCTTGAGATCTTCTTTCAGATACCTTGTTTATGTTTGTTATGTTTTATGCCATTGTAAGTTTATATTATTATTTTTATTATGGGCTGTACAACGATTAACAAATGTAAACCAAAAAAAAAATATATATATACAGTATGATTTATGGCTATATATACAGTATGACTATATATACTGTATAATATGTTAAAAGTGTAGTCTGAACTTATTCTGTCCAAACTAAATGCTTTATGTGATAAAAATTTACTATGAAACAAGTTATTTTTCTCACATTTTTCCAAATAGCTACAATTATAGTACTTTTTTTATTCCAAAAATCTGGATTCATTATTTTGATTTCTGCGGTTCCGAATACAAATTCCTTTTGATAACTTAATTATTTTTGAGAGCATTTCAATGCGGAAAGAAAAGGTTAAATTAATCAAAAAAGTAAAAAGAAAAAATTTTTATCTTAAGTTCAAACTTTAAAATTTTTATTTTCATATCTCTCATAAGACGTTTTGCATGTTCACGTTTATGTTTACAGTATATAATACGGCAAGCGTGTTTTTGGAGCCTATAAATTTTTTGAAGTTTTGAAGTTTGCGTACTTGCCCATGATATATTTGCATAATTAATGAAACAGTATATCACTCCAAAGTATATTAATTTTAGACTTAACATATTGACGTATGGTCTAACCCTATACATTACGCCAATAGTTTTGGTAACTTTTGAATGTATGTAGATGATGGGGAAGCCAGGATAAATTTTCATCGACAAGGATTCCGAGGAATTTTATACTTGCTTGCTTTTTAATTATTGTATCATTTAAGTACAGTTCGCGTAATTTAAGAGGAATGTTTAATTCTTGAGTTTTTTTATGGAATAGAGTATAGTTGGTTTTCTCAACATTAAGTGTGAGTTTGTTAGCTTTAAACCAACTATTTACTTTATATGATATGAAACTTTCAATAATAACCAATCCCTTGTTTTTGTTGAAAGTTTCATATATCAAACTAGTTGGTAAAATTGTGATAATTTGATTTTTTGGATAAGAGGAGGTGGGGGAAGCCTATTATACCCTCCTGAATCTGTCACTGGTTCAAACTTTATATGGTCATAATTTCTAAACGCTGAGTGATTATACTAATTTTAAAACTGAAAGTTTATCGATGGATAAACTTTCAGTTTTATAGTATAATCACTCAGTGTTCTAGTTAAGAAAACAAAAAACTAAAATATTTTATCAAATTGTTGCTCTAACGTTTGGGGCAGAGAGGCGAAACCTTTAAGTATTTTGAGTATCGGTTTTTAGAGTTTGTTCTGTTCTGGAAGTTAGCTATCTCAAAAACCAAAAAATGCTGGATTCGACCCTGTCGCGCCGGAACTGATAGACAGAATGCGAACAAAAAAATCATCACCTAAATTGCTAAGTTATTAGATTTCTATTTTATGTATCAAAAATATAAGAAACATGGTAAAAGCTTCTTTTACCATTTTCGTTGACACTTATTTTCTTACTGAATTTTGTTAACGAATTTTGCGTAAATTTATAAGCGCAAAACGCGTAAGAAAAAGAGTTGATGATCTCTCTCGCTTTATTACGAAGAATGTTACTTTTAACTTTAGCTCGTTAACTTCAAAGAAAATTATTTGCTTAAGTTTATTGTTTATGTTGTCCTTATAATTAATCTTTTTTGATCGGTACTAAGTTATTCTTGTAGAGAACATAATAAGTGGGTTTGGTTAATTGTTTTTGTCATTAAAATTTGTTGTTTGTTCTTCAAGTCGTAGGTAAGGTAGTAGAATTAAAGTTTGTCATAGAAAAATGTCCAATACACTATATATATATATACAAAAGGTAATCATTAAAGAATGCTAAGATGAAAGAAAGTAAAATAAATTTGGCTGATATTTCCAGCAAAATTCGATTGCTTGATGATTCAGAAATTTCATTTGATTTTAAGGTAAATTTTGAGTTAGAGTTTTAGGTAAAATTTTTGTCCGAACCTTTAATTGTAAATCAATTTTTTATTTTATTTTTTCTTTAAATTCTTTTACTCTCTTACAACGTTTATCCTTTCTTCTTTAAAAACTCTTTATCTTTTAGATATTTTTTTTGCTTTTATATTTTTATTAATATAATATTATTTAATGTGAATAATAAATCACAAACTAAAATAATAGCTCATCAAAGATAAAATCTGAAGATATTTTATCATTATACATATCTTTAACAAGATATGCATACTAAAATAATAATAGTTTTTTTTATTTTTATCAAAACTATTTCTTATTTATATGTTTTGGCTCAACTATAAAACAAGTGTTGTTTTTAATAAAAGATAAACTTTTTACCTGGCATCATGCAAAGAAACTCATATAAGTTGATAAACAATAGAGTCTTAAATATAATTAATGTTGTTGAGGAATAAAGTTAGATTTTTAGCTAACTTTATTCCTCAACAAAAAATGTGGTTTTTCAAAGGAATACCACAAACACATATACATATATCTTTTTTTTTTACAATATTTTTAATATCTATTGACAAATGATTTGTTGTGAGTATTTTGCAAGTTAGAATCTCACAGTTCAGATCATGTTTTAGATTTTGCAAATTTCATCCAAGAAAACACTCTTTCACAAAAGTATGTGAAGCCTTGGTGTAGTAATTAGAGAGTTGGCTTCAGAATGGGAGGTCCGTGTTTTGAAGCCGACTCTTGCCATATATGCATGATTGGTGAAAAAGGAGACGTAAATTTTCTAGTTAAATGCTATTCAGCCGAGCTCTGTGATAAGACCATTATTCTTTAAGCACCAAAATAATAGAAAAAAAAAAGTGCTATTAAACAAGACATCATTTTTGGATTGGATTTGGATTATTATTATACTTATTTATATTATTATTATATTTAAGACATCATTTTTGGATTGTTATACTATACTTATTTTGGTCAAGAATTTTTTTTAAATAACATCAAATTTTGTTAAGTAACATCACTGCAATGAATATTAATTAACTCCATTTGGAATTTTTCTGTTACAGTTTCAATTTTAACAGAAAATAGCACTGTGAACAATTTGATTTTGTTAGCATGTTTTTTAATCATAGTTTTTAATCATCATACCTTAAATTATATTCTTTGCACATTGAAACAGATTTACAATAGAATCCAGAGTAAGAAAGTGATGAGCTCGATAAAGAGAAGCAACTTTAGCAGATGCTAATTTTGCAACAGATTTGATATAAGGTTTCCAAGAAAGATCAGAAGTAAGAGTTAATCCTAGAAGATGAAGGGTAGGAGACTCATCGAGTACATTACCGTTCATAAATATAGGAAGGTCTAAATTATTGCGATAACGATTGGCCGAAAAAAATTGAGTTTTATCTGAATTAAAGTTTACCAGCCACTGTGAGCCCCATGCTGTAGCAGAAGTGAGATCCTTTTCAAGCTCAGATGCCCCCTGCAAGCAATCAGAGGGAGTTGGCTTCTTATTGTGACAAGAATAAATGGTAGTATCATCAGCGAACAATGCCACCTTAGATGTGAGAATATCTGGAAGATCGTTATTAATATTGATACTATCAAATATGAGAATGATTGTGATAGATTTAAAGGGCGCAACTTTATTGGGAAAATTACCAGTACCCTAATATTTTGGAGAAAAAAAGTTTTTCAAAAGTAGGTCAACCTGGTACTCAAAAGAAGTGAAATTTTATAAAAAATTCAAAAATAATAATCGTTTTATAAAAATCAAATTGCCGAAAAAAATTGTTATTAAAAAAACATGTAAAAATGCACCTTTTCCACTTTTAGTTAAAAAACTATAGTTATTATGCAATAAAATCTAAAATAATAATTTTTATATGAAAAAATTACTATTCAGAATAAGATCCTTTTCTGACAACATCCAAGATTGAAGAAACACCTAAATTAGCTCAGCAAACTATTTTGGAACATATTCAAAAGATAGGATTATTATGGAAATATTCAAGGTGGTGCCACATATATTTAAATCAGAAAAATATGGATGATTGAGTTGTCATATGCATATCTCTACTTGGTCGGAACTGAACCAAACCGTTTCTGAACAGGATGATAACTAGGGATGAGAAATGGATTACTTATGAAAACATCATAAAAAAAGGGCATATTTTGAACCTAGAAAACTAGCCTATTCACATCTAAACCACATTTGACTCTGAATAAGAAAATGTTGTGTATATAGTGGGAAATTCAAGGATCAATACATTATGAGCTTTTAAAACCAAACCAAAAGCTTAGTTTAGAGAAGTATTGTCAGCAACTGGATAATTTAAAGATAAAAATCCAAGAAAAAAGGCCAGCAATGTTTAATAGGAAAGAAATCATATTGCATCATGATAATGCCAGGCCGCATGTTGGATTGGGGGCTTGAAAAAAAATTGTAGAGCTAGGCTGGAAAATTTTATTGCACCCACTATATTCCCCAGACTTAGTGCCCTTCGACTATCACATGTTTTTGTCCTTACATAATTTCTTGAATGGCAAGAAATTCAAAAATAAAGAAGATATCAAACAACTACTGCTTCAATTTTTTGAATCAAAGAATAAAACATTTTTTAAAAATAGAATATACAAATGACCATCTCGCTGGCAAGATGTCATTAAAATTAATGGCAATTATATTACTCAATACAGTTTATAGATAATATCAAAAATTTGTATTTTTTTTTTGTTCCGAAAACAGACAGAACTTTCTGTTAGTTCTAATATATATATTATTTTAATGGTCATACTTTTCGATATAAGTTATCAAATTTACAAATAAACAGTTTTACTATTTGGAGAGGATTCGAAAACAAAATTAAACTGAATTATGTTATCTTCTTATTTATTAGGTTTACAAAAGAAATTAATATATAATATCCCATTTGATTAGTTTATAGTTTACTTGCCTTATAATCATCCTTAGCGAAAATAACGGCCATGTAAAATAACATTATCAAAATAACATTATCAAAACAACATTTTTTTAAACATTGTCAATCAAAGATGGACATCCAAAAGGTGACTGATCAGAAAAGTCAAAATTACCAGTTAAAAATTTTCGAAACTATCTTCTACATGTCCCATCAGAAAAAGTATTTCATCAAACATTTTTAATAAACTTCTACAGGCTTCTGTAACATTTCTTCCTTGTTGAAATTTGTTTAAATAACAGAGAAATGAACTTTATCAATAGCCATGTTTACAATATCACTTTATAATCCAGACAAATGTAAAATAAATTTGTTTGAGTTGATTTGCTACATCTGTATAACATGTATTAATGTGTTGAAAATTAATTTTATATCAACGGACAGAACTTTCTGATAGGCTTAATATATATATATATATATATATATATATATATATATATATATATATATATATATATATATATATATATATATATATATATATATATATATATATATATATATATATACATATATATATATATACGTATATATACGTATATATATATATATACATATACATATATATATATATATATACACATATATACATATATATATATATATATACACATATATACATATATACAGGGGTGGGACCGCAAAATGTGAACACTTTTCTGATTGTAATAATTAATTTTCTGTTAAATATGAACTAATTTAAATGTTCAATTTTTGTTTTTTTACATATTATATTTTACTTTGTTTACATATTCATTAGTACTTTGTCTTTCGTTTTTTATCAAATAAACTCAACTACATCTAACGAGAAAATAGTTATAATAAAACAAAAACGTTCACATTTTGCGGTCCCACCCCTGTATATACATATATACACATACATATTATATATATATATATATATATATATACATACATATATATATATATATATATATATATATATATATATATATATATATATATATATATATACAACCATCAGAATTAGGGAAAATGAGGTCAGCAATAATTTGCAGACCAAATTTTTAGAGATTGACATCAGGTCGGCAAAAAAATAGTCCCTTAACATAACAATAGTTAGACAAAAAAACAATGGTTTTATATATATAAGTATACACATACATATATACCTGATACATTCCCACACCCGCATGTTTAGCATCAATTTTAACAAGTTCTAACAAAGGATCTTGCAGTCGACGACCAATTGACACTTAAAATATTTGTTTAACAACTTGGTTTTATGCACAAACATGTTAATTACAATTAGTTAGACCTGATGTAATGATTTTGTTATTTTGATAATTTTTATGTAATTTACATGCTTTTAACTAATTTATCATTACACTTATGGTTTTTATTTTGTTTTAGTCTAATTTCAGATTTCATCTCACCAGCAATAAAAGCTCTTTTTATTGTATTTTATTGCTTTGCAATTTCATATTTTAATTCAATTAGTCCTTTTAACTGTGGCACCTGTTAAAAAAAATTTTAAATCTCTTAAATTTTTTTTTAACAGGTATCTAAACCTGTGCCAGAGTTACATCTTTTACAGAACTAATGAGTCATTTGAGCTTTAATTTCCTAAAATTTATTATCCCTCACATTTATAACCATGACACTTAACACATATTTAGCATAATATTCTATTGCGAACTCCACTCTTATTAATTTTGCTAACTTTGTCTTTTATTGAACCTTTAAAAGATTAACTTTTGAAGCCTAAATAAGAAAGTTATTGCTTATACAATTACTAATCTGAATTACGAAGGTATGTTTTTTTTATTTGTATATACATGTCATATTTCAATATTTTGTTTAAAAATGTCAAGTTTTTGAAATTTGTAAACAAAATATTGAAATTCCGCCTTTCGTGGGTGTTTTTATACTTTTTGAACTTCTTTTAGTTTTTAGATATATTGCTTTGTACAGTTTGATTACATTTTAAATTCTTTTTTTATTTTGTATATAGATTAACAAGTTTTTAATGCAATTACTTAAAATTATTATTAAGTTAAAGTGATTAAGTTCAAAGATGTTTAAATTTTTAAGTTCAAGCTTACCAATACAAACATTTGCTAATTGTTTGAATTAAATTTACTAATAATAATTTGCTGACAGTGTTAGCTTATTAATTAAATCTTTTTTTTTCATTTTTTTTCAAACTCTGGTGCTTAAACCTTTTTAAACTCTGTAACTTTATAATAAAAATTTTTAAAAACCCTCTAAATTTATACTCTGAAACTTTGAAATCTTTTTAAACCTTCAATTTTGAAACTGTAACTAGATTGGTTCATAAAGAAGCAGAGTACTTGTAATGTTTAGTAATTTTAAATTTTTTAAATAATTTTTTAAGTTTTTAATTTTTTTTTGTACTTATTTTTTTACTTTACTACTTAATTTTTTTTTTGTACTTATTTACTTTTAGAAAGAGACACTTGGATCAGAATTACTTGATTTTGTGTGCAAACATCTGGATGTTTTATCTAAAGATTATTTTGGACTAAGATATGTTGATACAAATAAACAAAGAGTAATAAAAAATATGTATTCTTTATTGCTTATTATTTATACTTTAGTTATATGTGACTTTTATTCAGCACAGTGCATATATTGCACACTTTAATATTTTAAACATAATTCAGATACTTCTTCATACAAATATGCCAACTTTAATTCAAAGGTTTCTTCAGACAAAAATAAGATTGAAAATATAAATGAGCAAAAAAAAAATTTTTTTGCCATAATAGATACTGACCTCTGATATAAACATTGGTTATACTCACAAAAGTTTAATAAACAGGTATAAATCTAGCTTGACTCTAAGCTATTTAACAAGTGCTTGAATGATTCTTATTTTCTTGCTTGCTGGAAAATGGCATCTGGTTTCAAATTTTAAAACTCTGGAGAACATTCTAAACCCTTCAACTGTCCTTCATTCTTTTTTCTGTTGTAAGGTCTTTGAGTTTTTAATCAACATCTTGAGTCAAATAACTTACTGTCAGACAATCAATATGGTTTTCGATTTTCTTGCTCTATGGCTAACTTGCTAACTTATGTGAGTGAAAGATTTTATTGTGGATTTTATGGAAGCCGCTAGGCAAGATCTATTGCTCTAGACATATCTAAAGCTTTTAATAAAGTTTGGCATGCTGGTCTTCTCCATAAGCTTGCTTAATGTGGTGTATCTAGAAAAGTTTTGAAACTTGCTTTATCAAATTCATCCTCAAAGGCCAACATTCTTCTTTATTTCCTCTAAAGTAGAGTAAACCTCTGGGATACCTCAAGGTTCTATCCTTGGTTCTTTTATCTACATTATCTTCCTAACAACCTTACATCTAAATTGGCTTTAATCACTGATGACTCAACTTTATAAAAAAGATAAAAAAGTCTTTTTTGTAACAGATTGGGGCTTGTAGTGGCTTGTGAATTTTAACTCCAACAAAACTCAGTTATTTGCTGCAAACAACTAATACTGTTGACCTATATTGATGTATGGCAACCTATTGAGAGTCCTCTTCTTTACACCTTTGCTTTAAAAACTTTTAGTCTTCTAGTTTTTTTCTCTTTAAAACTCTCTCCCATCTTCATGTTTTTCTGACTCATACAACATACAACTTTTCAAGTCTTCTGTCAACTGTTTCCTTTCTTTTTAACTCTATTTTTTGTTTACTTGTAAATCTCAACTTAATAGTGGTTGCTTGCAGCCTGGGAGTGAATCTAAATAAAATAAAAATGCAAAAAAAAAAAAAAAATTGTTATAAAAGTATAAATTTATTTTTAATCATATTGTAACTACATATATATTTAAAAAAGTAGAAATTATTTTTAACATAAGGAATTCATTTTTTTGGCAAGATCTAAATCTTATTAATATTTACAAATAAGAAAATTTGATGATATTTTTTTTAATGATTTCAGATTTCTTAATGGAATTTATTGTTGTTATTGTACCTGGCTAAAATAAAAGGATTTTATAGGGTTTGCAAATCTAGGGTTTGAAAACCTAAAAGAATTTTTGTTAATATCAAAATCAAGACATCTTTTCTTAAACTTAATTTAGATTTTCTATTACATCAAATGTCTCACAAGATTTTGACAAAAATACAATCAAAGTAAGTTACAGCTGTAAAGAAATAAATTCAAAATAAGTTACAGATGTACCAATGTACAATCCAAATAAGTTACATTCAAATATTAAAACTATTATTAATTTACACAATTAACAATGTTTGATCAGCAAAAATACTGTTACCATTACAATCTGTAACTTTATTTAGAAAACATTTAACAATCTGTTTTCTTAATGAATTGAATTTAAATAATCCAACTGCTATTCCATGTCATTCTAGCTGCTACTTCTACTCTATGACATTCTAGCTGCTAAATCTACTTCATGGCATTCTAGATGCTACTTCTTACTATTCTTGTTTTTCTTATGTTGTGAAACTAAAAAGAATAAAGAAATCTTGAAACCAGTAGTCTAAATAATAAACACTGTGAAGTAATCACTAAAGTAGTTAAATGTGCAAAACATAAAAAACCTATTGACATCTGAATTTCTTATTACTTTAAGGTTTGTGTCTTTTGGGATGTCTTTGCTGAGTCTTTCGGGAGGCTCTAAGTATTTAAAGATTATGCTTGTAGAAAGATATTAGTATGCTTTTACAAAAACTTAGATCTATTTAGAATGTTATTTACCGTTGTTTCTTTGGAAAGAGAAATGAACTAAAGATTGAGGGCTTGTTTAGAGAAAACATTTGTTGTGTACAGACATATTTTTTAGTAAGTAGTTCAGTAAGTTTTTTGCAACTCTTCTTATTTTCATTTTACTCAACATCATCAACTAAAGCCATTATAATCAATTGTTTACTTGAGAAAGCTCAGGATATTCTTTATATAATTTAACCACATCCTTGAGAGCTGCCCAATGACTAACTCGTGCTTTAAAACCCAGACAGCAATTGAAAAACCAAAAAATAGAATGTCAGGTATATTAATAAGGAATCTGTCTGCACCATCTTCCATTTCCTTTCATTCATGGTGTTTGAGATTTTGTCATTTCTAGTATGAGCAAATAAATAGCACCTGCCATAAATCTTGTTTTATGGAATCCTGATTAAAATTTTAAAGCAGGATAATGTCCACCTAGGTAGTAAACATAAAGCTGATAGAGAATCTTTTTGTCTTTTTTTTTTAATGTAGTCTTTTTTTTGTTTGTGGCACTGGTTGAAGTCAAATATATATAAGATGTTTTTTGTTTGTAGCACTGGTTGAAGTCAAATATATATATAAAATGTTTTTTTTTTATTTGTAGCACTGGTTGAAGTCAAATATATATAAGATGATTTTTTTTTGTTTGTAGCACTGGTTGAAGTCAAATATATATAAGATGATTTTTTTTGTTTGTAGCACTGGTTGAAGTCAAATATATATAAGATATTTTTTGTTTGTAGCACTGGTTGAAGTCAAATATATATAAGATATTTTTTTTGTTTGTAGCACTGGTTGAAGTCAAATATATATAAGATGTTTTTTGTTTGTAGCACTGGTTGAAGTCAAATATATATATATATATATATAAGATGTTTTTTTTTGTTTGTAGCACTGGTTGAAATCAAATAAAGAAATCATTAAGCAATTAAAAGGTAAATTTAATAAAATTTAGAAATTTGAGAGTTTTTATATTGTTGGAAAACATAATAATATGTTCATTAATCAAATTTTTTTTTTAACTTTAAATTAATAATATAATAAATGTTAACACTTTGAAACAATTAATAAATAAATGTGGTAGTGGTGTAGTGGTATAGCATTTGCCTCATAAACGAGAAGTTCTGTGTTTGATCCCTACCACATCCTTGGTAGTACCGCTCTCAACTTGTCTCTTCACTGTGCAGAGAAAAAAGTTGAGCACGTTACTAAACAAGTTGAAACCCTAACCCTGATGAAATAAAGTTTATTATAAAAAACAATGTAAAAAATTTAAAAAAGGTTAAAAATATATATATATTTTTTAAACTATTTTTAATATTAACTTTTTGATTCTAACTTTTTTTTGATTCTAACTTTTGATTCTAACTAACTTAGAATTAATTTTATAAGTTTAATTTTAGTTAAATAAAATCAATTTTATAAGAAAAACAAAAGTTTTTTTAAAAACTGGAAATTTATAAAAATATCTATTTTTCACTGTGACTTCATTCAACCCAAAAGTAATTTTTTATTCAACTAAAAAAAAAAATGATGCCATTTAGATAATTAGAAAAAATTATATTAAAAATATTAAGAATTAAATTTGCTGCTAGAAAATGTTTTTTTATTACAACAAATGACTTTATTGCAACAAATGACTTGAGTAAATCTTGTTACTACCAAGTTTCTAAGAGTTGCATATAATTGATATTTCTTATACTAAACTATTTCTTGTACAAAATAAACCCAGAAGCCCAAATGGGAAAAAAAAGTCTTATTGCTGTTTAAAATACTATTAAAAAATAAGTTCAGAAATGCATTCACTGTACATGAAAAAAATTTCATCCTTTAATAAAAATTGCATACTTCTTTAATATTAGGAAATAGCAAAACTAATTTTAGTAGCAAAGTAGATTTCGAAAATTAGTAGGAATTCGATTTGTGTTCAAGATTCCTCTGATTTTGTAATAAAAATAAATAAGATTCCTATACTACTATAGTACAAGTATCAATTGATAGAGGCAGAAAAAAGTTAAAATTATAAAAAAGAGCAAAAAATAAACTAAGAGAACTATCATACAGTATTGGACAAAACATTTGCAACCAACATCGAACAATGCTAAAAAGTGTTCCAAATTTTACATGTCTTAAAAACGAGCTATACTACCACAGCAAACAGTTCAGGAGTCTGGAGTCATAGCATGCCATGACATGAGCAATCAGCTGACAGGTGACAGCACCCAGGCAGAATTTCGTTGATAAGTGCCATTTTGCAGTGGACAAAACAAGTGCAACTTTTTTGGTTTGTCTTATTTTCTTAAGCCTGGTCCATGTCAACATCATAGAAGTTTTTTAATAATTAAAGGAAGTATCAAGAAGTTTCCAGAAACATGCAGAAGCTTCCAGAAGTTTCTAGAAGAACCATTTGGAAGCATCCAGAAGCATTTAGAAGTATCCAGAAACATTCAGAAGGATCCAGACGCATCCAGAAGCTTCCAGAAGCATCCAAAAGACGCATCTAGAATCTTCCAGAATAGGTTCACACAGGTTCATTTTACTATATAAGAGACATGTAAACCAACATGTAATTCAGTCTGTATATGGAAGTCAATCAGTCAGTATTATCAAGACAGTTTATCGAAGTGAGTTTTATCAAATTGTTTTATTGAAGAATATCAAATCAAGAAGTGAAATACAACAAGTGTTTCATTACATCAATACAGTCCAGATCCAACCAAGACAATATGTTACACAGAGCATTATTGTATCGTCACAAGGTAAATGTAACATGGTAAGCCTTGAGAAGCATGATTATTTTTATTATTTTCATGATTTCAAGTGCAAAAATGGCTCCGGAAAGTCTTGGATTGGAACTAAGAAAGAAAATTATTGGCGATTACGTAAGTGGAATGTCACAAAAAAGTATTTGTGTATCAAGACTGTTTTCCAAATATCGTTCTACGGGGAAGTTGACAGCAGATAACAAAGGTGGAAGACCACGTTCCACCACTTCTAGAGAGGATTCTTTGATCGTCAGATCCGTCATGAAGGATTCCTGGATATCATCAGTTGAGATACAAAAGCAATTAGAGCTGTCTGTAATGGATTTGCCACGAACAATCAGATGATGTGCTGTTGAAGCGGGATTGTTTTCTCAACGTTCTGCAAAGAAACCGCTGATTTCACTAAAGAACCAGAAGAAAAGACTCCTGTTTGCTACATCTCATATTGACTGGAATGTGCAGAAATGGCGAACTGTCCTGTTCAGTGATGAATCGAAGTTCAACATCATTGGGAGCGATGGCATTTGCCGTGTACGTCGACCGACCAGAAAATGCCTCGATTTACGTTACTGCCATAAGACCGTGAAGCATGGTGGAGGTAATGTAATGGTTTGGGGGTGTTTTTCTGCTAACGGTCTAGGTCCAATACATCAAATCGATAGAATAATGCGCGGTTTTATGTATAAAAATATCCTGAAAGATGTTATGTTACCTCATGCTGAATGGAATATGTCAATAAAATGAGTTTTTCAGCAATACAATGATCCGAAACACACTGCAAAAGTAGTCAAGTTTCAAGACAACCAACTATCAGTGATGGATTGGTTGCCTCAATCTCTGGATCTCAACCCTATCAAGAACCTGTGGGAGATCGTCAACTGCAGAATTAATCGTGAAGATGTTCGTAATAAGGATCAACTGTTTAAACAAATCCAAAAGGCCTATGCAGCAATTCCAAGTTTCATTGATTTAAAGTTTCATTGATCACTTGATCAAGATTCAAAGTTTCATTGATCACTTGATCGAATCTATGTCTCGAAGATACAAGGCTGTGATCAACAACAAAGGATTTGCCACGAAATATTGATAGCGAAATACAGCTTGGTCAACATTTTGTGGAGTTGCACTTGTTTTGTCCAGAAGGAAATCAACTTTTTTTTAATACTTTTGATTAATTTATTAGTTTTCATGTACAAATAATGAACTTTGTGATGAATAAAACTTGAAGAACGTTTTTTCTAAACAGTTACATAGTTATTTCTCTAAATTGAAAAAATGGAATAATTTAGTTTCTTTTATATAAAGAAACTAAATTAGCATTATTTGGTTGCACTTGTTTTGTCCGATACTGTATATCATATAAAATAAATTTTAGATATTGTCCAGCTAGATACTTATAGGTTTTCATATTGTATGAGAGTTGAAGTTGTCTTCATGATTATGGGTTTGTCTAGCTACGGTGGTAACCATGCAAAACCATTCATTACAGAGCAAACTAGAGAAACCATTAATTACAGAACAAATTAGAGAAACCATTCATTATAAAACAAATTAGAGAAACCATTCATTACAGAACAAACTAGAGATATCATTCATTACAGAACAAACTAGAGAAACCATTAATTACAGAACAAATTAGAGAAACCATTCATTACAAAACAAACCAGAGAAAACATTGATTCCAAATTTGAATCACAAGTATTACAAAAGAAACTTGTTTTAAGGAAACTTGTTTCTGTCTTTTTTTTTCAAAAATAATATAAAAACAATATTGATTAACTTTGTAGATATCATTTAGTTATTTAACTAAAGATTTAGCTCTGTAGAACTTCATAGAAATTTTTCCTAAGATTTATCTTCTGCAACGAAATTATAAATAGACCAACAACATAACAATGTGGTTTTACTGATAGCTCATAAGAATTTGCTGAAATCAATATTGAAAAAAAGTTAAAATTTAAAAATATATATTAAAAAAAAATGCTATTTTAAAAATAGTTAAAGGGTTTACCTTCCGCTCATTCCCTGCCTAAAAATGCACTCTAGGATTTAAAAAAAGTCTTTTTTAATTTCTAAATAAGTACCTAAATAATGGCATTTTTTTTTAAGTTGAATAAAGTATAACTTTTTGGACAGTTTTTGACAATGTTTTTGAATTCAAAAAAATTTTTTTTTTTTAGATTCACGACAACCTTATATGTTTTTCTTTCGAGTAAAATTTTATCCAACAGACCCTACAAAAGTAAAAGAAGAAATCACAAGGTTAATTGATAATTTATAAAAGTTTTGTGACAAAAGTGAAAAAGTTAAATATGACAAAATTGTATTTGACAAAATAAGGATACTAGCATAATATGATATTAGAAAGATACTAGATAGTATACTAGAAGGATACTAGATAGTATACTAGAAGGATACTAGATAGTATACTAGAAGGATACTAGATAGTATACTAGAAGGATACTAGATAGTATACTAGAAGGATATTAGATAGTATACTAGAAGGATTCTAGATAGTATACTAGAAGGATACTAGATAGTATACTAGAAGGATACTAGATACTATACTAGAAGGATACTAGACAGTAGGGTGTGTCAATTTTCACTTTTTTTGGAAATTTGATTATGGCTAAGTTATTTACCAAATCATCTAGATAACAAAATTTTTAATAGTATGCAAAAAAGGATATTTCAAAATTTAGTTTAACGGACAACACAATAATTTAAAACATTGACTGTCCTATCCTTTTCACAAAAATCTTTTGTTTTGTTTGTTTTATTTGATTAAATTCCAAATATGAGTTATGAAAAAAATCCAAGTTAAATATTTACCAGGAGTAATAATATTGTTGTGTTATTGAATTCAAAATACCTATCCATATTTTTAACTGTTTAAGGATATATATATGTATATATATATATATATATATATATATATATATATATATATATATATATATATATATATATATATATATATATATATATACACCCATGTAAATATACAAGTATATATAAATAAACAAGCTCCCTAACTTTACTGGATATAATATAAACTGGATATAACTATATATATTTTAACTGGGTATATATATTAATGGATATAACTATATATATATATATATATATATATATATATATATATATATATATATATATATATATATATATATATATATATATATCAGGCTTGGTCGGGAAGCGGGTGCGATCGCACTCGATAATTGACCATGGAAATTATATTTACTTGCGAAAAGCTGGCCAGATTTTTCAGGCGTTTTGAGAACATTTCAATTTATGTATGTTTCCTTGTTTGTCCGCAAAATAATAAGTTCATTTTATCGTAAATTTAGATTTTTTTTTACGGACGTACATGGAAACTTATATAAACTTGAATGTTGTCAAACGTCTTAGTGCGGAAAAATAAATAAAGAACATTCGCGAACATAAAAAACCCGCCAAATTTACGAACAACTAACTCTATTAGTTCAATTAATAAATAACTGAAATTACTACGCGACTGTTCTAGAGTATTCTGTTGAATTATTTTTCAAAATCTTTTTTTTTTGTTTTTGTTTTTGTTTTTGTTATTTTTTCGTTGAGAATGCTATCATCAATTGTTTTAAGAATATACTATCAAACGAACAATTATTTTAATACAATGGCTCATTCTCGGAGTCACATCCATAAAGCTATAAATGTTTTAAACTAACATTTGTTTACAAAAATAAATGTTTTAAATTTATATTTTTTAACTTGTCAGCGTTTTGTAAATATATTATAGATTTAATTAGTATAGTCTTATTTTTTATATATAAGGGATGTATTTATATGTATGTAATGTATTAGAAATTGGTTTATTAACTTCAATTATTTTTGCTTCAGCCATTCTTACAAACTCGTTATACTTACACTTAAAGTTTTTTTTTTCTGTAAAATACTAGTTAAAGAAAGCCCACTCACTAAACATCATCAGCGATATTGTTAAGCAGTTCCGCTTCCTCCTTACAAAGTAATTTAACGTTTTTAGTTAATTTCTATCTAGCTAATTAAATTTCCACAGTAACTCAATGATTTAGTTATTTCATTTGTTCATCTTACTAAGAAGAATTGTTTCAAATATGTTAAACTTTTCAAACTACGCGAAGCATAAAACAGGTACTGAAAAAACTTTTTTTATTTATATTTAAATTATATAGCGTTAGTTTTATTGGTTTAATCTTGTTGGACTTTACAGGGCCGGGGGCTGCATTATTTTGGTGGCCTTTTTTATGTGCGACAGCGTAAAAATGACTTAAAAATACAGATAGGTCCTCTTGACTATTTCTCGGCCCATAGCATAGTGTGTCCCGGGACTATAGCTCTTCTATTTCTAGCACTAATAATAAGACATAAGTATATAAATAAAAATTATATATAATCTTTAATAAATTGAAGAACATTTGTTTCTTTATTAAACAATCATTATTAGTACGTTGTTACTATATACAAAAAATGTCGCTTTTTTAAAAAAAAAAAATTATAAAAGAGCGACGTTTCAAAAATATTTTGAAACTCTAATCGTATTTATTTTGCTTAAAGTTTTGCGTTAAAAGCTATTTTTCTTTTTTTTAACTGTCTCTCACCGGCTTTTCGCAACTAAATATAATTTCCGTGGTCAAATATCGAGTGCGATCGCACCCGCTTCCCGACCAAGCCTGATATATATATATATATATATATATATATATAAATATAAATATATATAATATATATATATATTATATATATATATATATATATATATATATATATATATATATATATATATATATATATATATATATATATATATATATATATATATATATATATATATATATATATATATATATATATATATATATATATATATATATATATATATATATATATATATATATATATATATATATATATATATATATATATAAACAAGCTCATTAACTTAAAAGATTAATAGTTAGGCAATTAGATTAATAGTTTGGTGAAAGATAAAACAACAAACTTTTTGAGCACTCTGTATATATATATATATATATATATATATATATATATATATATATATATATATATATATATATATATATATAATCACTTCATAAAAAATAAGTAAATAACATTCTTACAAATGTGAATAAATTAATACTCCCAACTATTTTTTTTGAATTAGATGTTTCATGTCTTTTTTACTAGAATTACTGGACATAAGCTCTCAACTAATTATCTGACCTTGAATGTATGTATCTCTTCTAACCTGACCAAAGACACGACAAGCATTTTCAGAAGTCATTTTTATACATCTTTCAACAGATTGTGCATGAGAGGGCCACTTAGTTACTTTAATTGGAGTGTTAATAAATTCTTTAACTGCTTCAGTTGATAAATTACATGTTAGAGGCGGTTCTTTGATGTCACTTCAGTCTATAAGTTTAGACAAACAGGTTGCTTCCATGATGATATTGGGAGTCTTTCTAATCCTAAAAGATCTATCTCCGAATTGAAGTGCATCATTTCCAACACCTCTTAATTCAACTATTTTATTAACAGCTTCTCTTCTTTCATCTTCAACTTGACTGCAGAGCATACTTTGCAACACTGATTCAGAATGAGCATACCATGCTGATCTTTTAAAAGTGGGTAAAACAATGTCAATTACCTCCTGAGTTTGATTTTTTAGTAATTGCATTTGTTCAAGTAAGTTAATTGGTCCCTCCACCCAGCTTGACTTTACTTTAATGTTGAACCAGTTAGGAACATACACACCAACAATATACTCAACTATCATTCTTAACTTATTTAAAAGCTCATCTGTTAACCCATGATTAGACACTCATATTTTGCAAAATCTTAAAGCAGTAGTTAGCCATCTGCTATGACAAATGGGACTAATTTCTAGTAATGCCAATCTATTGGACAGAACTCCAGTTTTAATGGATGTCACAATTTGGTATGCGTAGCTTTGATCAGTTGTCAGATCTTTAATAATTTTAGGATCAAGATGGATAAGAGGAGAAGCTTCACAAAGTTTTATAAATTGTGGATTAATTTCAAAGTTTGTAACATTATTCAGCCTTACCAAGTGGTCCTGACCTATGATTGCTGGATTTAGTATGACCATCAAGAAACTTAATTAGACTTTGTAACCCTAGTTCCCCAGTGTGTAGGTCACATACAATCCATATGAGTTTCCTATCAAGTTTTTTTTCAACCCACTGTATCACTCTTCCTGCCCATCCAGTATTTATATTAGTACTGTCACAACCTATGGCTTCCATTGTTAAATGCAAAGATCTTTCTTTAAGCCATTCATTTAAATGATCTGCAATTATCTCTGCAGGTTTTTTTACATTCGATTCTTCAGGAACAAAGTGAAATAAATAATTTCCATCAGGTTCACTGCACACAGTATAATGTTCTTCTTTTACTAGCCCTGGAAATTTCCTACCTTCCACATCAAAAAAGATTTTAGTGTCATCTTTTCTATCATCAAAAAGAATGCAACTCAAACCATTATTGTTTAGTTCATTTTGGAGTTTTGAAGTCAACTCTTTTCCAATTTTGTCTTGTGCTCGTCTAACTTTGTTATGATCAATAATATAGTTAGTATTACCTTCTGTGATAAGTTCAACATTAATAAGGGCAGCAGTTGCAGTTTCTCTTAACCCTATATGGTGCCTTAAGCTTGCTAATGCTACATTACTTATATTCATGGTGTTATATTTTTTTACGTTTCTTTTTTCTGAAATATTGATTTGTACTTCATTATTTGAAATACCAGAGACTTTGTTTGAGTCACTTTCGGGTAAGATGATCTTAGTTTTATTTTGTTTATTTAAAATTTCTTGGTCTTTTTTTACTTTTTTTATTTGTGATGCGTGATTTTCTATTGAATACCTTTTCAAACTTTGGTTTTGTTTCTTAGTTTCAATGTGATCAATGCCACCTATCTGAAGCAAACATTTGGTTCCGATTTTTTCTCTTTCTCTAAACATAATTTAATTCAAGGACAGGAATTTTTTGATCTTTTTTACAAACACATTCAATGTGCGCTTTTCTGTCACAATTTTCTTTACAATTAATCTCTATGCAAAACATAATTTTACAATTGAAAGTAAACAAATCAAAAAGTTTATCATGTCTTTCCATAAATCTTTCTGTAATTGATATAGCTGCATTACCATTACTAACCTTAACAGCTAATAACCATAGCTCTTTTACTTTGTATTTAACTCTTCGTTCAGAATTTATAACTGGACTTACAAGTCTTACTAGTGGACTTACAGTTTAGCATTTGCTTTTTTCCACTGCGATAAAATTCCTGGAACAATTTTATTAACAAGCTGATCAACAGTATGGTTTCTGCGGTCTTTTTCACTTATCTCCCTTAAATACAATCCATACTTTAGGACATCTTGAGAAATTGGAAGTTCAGATGGAAGAAACTCTGAACCTTTTCCAATCAATTTACATAGCTGACAAGCCGATTTACTTCTGGTTTTGAGGGTGTTTAACATCTTTAGTTTAATTTATTAAAAATCAAGTTTTTAGAACTGAGAACCTTTTTAAAAGTATAACAAAATAAACAACTTTGCAAAATGGAAAGTGAATGTTTAGAATTAAATTTTCGTCAGTGTGTTGTCCGTTTTTTAGATATTAATTATATTTACAATTAGTTTTTTTAGATATCAATTATATTTACAATTAATTTTTTATTTATCAATTATATTTATAATTAGTTTTTTTAGATATCAATTATATTTACAATTAGTTTTTTTAGATATCAATTATATTTACAATTAATTTTTTATTTATCAATTATATTTACAATTAGTTTTTTTAGATATCAATTATATTTACAATTAATTTTTTTAGATATCAATTATATTTACAATTAAAACGAGACATATTGCATGGAAGGTGAAATTTTATTTAAAAAATTCAAAAGTAGTTTTATTTTTTTTTTTTACAAATTTTTATGTTCTGTACTCTGATTTAAGAACTTTTTTTTCAAGTTTCAAGTTTGATTTTATGAAAAATTTTTCAAATAAAATATTGTGAATTTAGACTTCTTTGTCCTACAAGTAGTATTACAGAACTCGCTGGACATATTGTTCAAGGTATTCTTATCTAATTTGCAAATATTATACTTAATTATATATATATATATATATATATATATATATATATATATATATATATATATATATATATATATATATATATATATATATATATATATATATATATATATATATATATATATATATATATATAATATTTAATTAAGTATACATTTTAATATGTATACTTAATTAAATATTATATATATATATAATATTTAATTAAGTATACATATTAAAATATATATATATACATATATATATATATATATATATATATATATATATATATATATATATATATATATATATATATATATATATCAGGCTTTCCCAGGAAAGGCGTGCGGTCGCACGCCTTGTTTGTCCATGCATAGAATAAATTTTTCTGACTAACTGACCACGTTTTATTATTATGCGTTTCAAGAATTCGCGCCAAAACAAAGCTAAACGAAAATACCGCAAAAATGCAAGCAATCTTAAAGTGAATAACAGAAATCTGTTTGTGCTTTAAAATTAAAAAATTAGTGCATATTATTAAAAAAAAAATTTACCTATAATTTATTTATTTATTTATTTAGGGTGGTAGTTATTTAAGCTATGAAAAATCAAATCAATAAGAAAAATCAAATCAAAAAGAAAAAGATTAATGCTTAAAGAAAATAAAAGGACCTTTTAATGTAAAATTTGTTTATGACTTTTATCAGTCAGTAATACTTTAAAATTCACGATAGAACTATAAACAATTTTTAAATGTTTCGTAAATACATTTAAATGTTTAAATGTATTGATTTTATTGTTTGAATGTATTGATACGCAAGAAAACACGAAAACGATTGCTATTTATTAGTAAAATATGTTTGTTTGTTTTTTTAAATGAAAAAGAATGTTATTGTCAAACGATTGAGTTGCTTATTTTGCGATCATTAATTGACATTGTGAACGAATGTTAATATATAATAATGTCCCAAAGGAACTGTTTTCGTAACAATGACAACAGAAGCAATGCAATTATTTTTTTAACTTCTTTCGTAATTACAAAATTATGCAATTGAATAATTTCAACGTAATAAAAGGCGAGCATTGACTCAGTAAAATCAGTTTACAATAAGTCGAGAACTTTTTTCACATTAAAATTTTGTTATGTTTAAAATCTCAAATAATATATTTAATAATTAAAACAGCAGTTTATTTTCTTGTCTATGTATTGGGGAATAAAGTCATTACCTTTGCATAAACCTTCGTAAAAACTAAATTAAATGAAAAAGTTTGACCAAATTTGTCTAGCGTAAATAATGAATCAATTTTTTAATACATTGTCTGATAAAGTTCGTGAATAAATTACGTATCAAGTCTTTTTATTTTCGTAAAAACTTTATGACTTATTGTCGTCTTTTCCTTGACTTGTATCAAATTTCGTAGCTGAAAATAGCAACCCTAATAAAAGAAAACAAAAACAATATAAAATTTTGAAAAAAATGTTCAAGACTTTTTTTTTTGTTACAAGAATTTTTTTTTTTTAATTTTTTTTTATTATCGAAATATTTTTCTTACATCCAATTTTAATTTTATACTTTGTTTAGACTTTGTTTTTTATTCTCTGGATAATTTCCGCTTTCTTACGAAATATTGCCGCGGTCACATTTTCTGAAAAATTTATTTTATGCGTGGACAAACAAGGCATGCGATCGCACGCCTTTCCTGGGAAAGCCTGATATATATATATATGTATATATATATATATATATATATATATATATATATATATATATATATATATATATATATATATATATATTTATATACACATATATATATATATATTTTGAACCATGGGTTTTATATTTTCTTCAAACTTCTTTGGCAGTTGCATGTTACAAAGGAAAGTTCACAAAAAAAATTTTGGGCCAAAATATTAAATGGTTCCCAATATATTTCAATTTTAATATTGATCTGGTTTCCTAAAATAACTCGGTTTTCATAACATTTTGAAAAAACATTTTTCTTAATAAAATGAGAAATAACACAATGGCAAAAATATGGAAATAAATATTTATAATGTTTTTTTTGATGCTGAATTTAATAAATGTATTTTAAATGCTGAAATGTGAAAGGAACACACTTAAAAGTAAATAAAACAACTAGTTTATAAGACTTTACTTTGGTGCCCATATATCTCAAAACACCCCAGTTTGATTTTTTTTTTGCTTTTAATTTTTTTAGTTAGTTATAATCTTACATGTCATAACAAATCTTACTGGAAAAACATGTTTTTCTTATTGTTTTATATCAGCCAACGTTACACAAAATGTAACCCATGTGCACAAAATATTTGAACTAATCTTACCCATACTAAAAACAAAATTTCTCAATCTGTACAAATTATATTTGTTCACTGATGGTTGTGCAGGGTAGTTAATAAATGTAAAAGCTTTTACAATCTATGCTAATTAGCGAATAAATTGGGTTTTTAAGCCGATTCAAACCTTTTTTACATGTTCCACCTATAGTAACTATGAGATGGGATTGACAGTACTGTAAAAAGGTTTACAGTGCAAGAATGTTTGAAACACCCCAACCAAAACCGAATACTACTGTTTTATTCTCAATATAAACAAATTGAAAAACTGTTTTATAAGCTTGCTCTAGTTCAAGTAGAAAGTTTATGTTGAAAAAAGCAGAAATGGAAAAAATACAAAATAAAAAAATATTGTGAACTATTACAAATACAGTCAAAATAACTTACACCCTCAAACACCATACTTAACACCATAAACAAATTTTTATATTTTTCAGTAATTTTTTAAATTACAATATATCTTTATTGTATTTGCAAATATTTTTTTAGTATTTTTTTAAAAAGGGATATATTTTTGAAATTATAGTTCTATATGTTTCTGTTGTTTTTCCAGTTAGAATTTTGGTGACATTGGTGTAACATTATAACTAAAAAAATTAAAATGAAAATTAAATTTGAACGGGGATGTTTTGAGATAAGGGCTTAGAGTTGATTCGTATAAACTAGTTGTTTTATTAACTTTTAAGCATGTTTCCTTTATATTTCAGCATTTTAAGTATATTTTTTGAATCCTGGATCAAAAATGCATAGTAAATGTTTGTTTTCATATTTTTACAATTGTTATTTCTTATTTTATTATTAGAATGATGTTTGTTTTTGAAACATGAAAACCAGGATATTTCAGGAAACCAGGTCAATTTTAAAACTGCCATATCTTGTCAATGGCTCAACATTTTTAGCATAATTTTTGCATACTATGTTTTTTTATAAATAGGAATCATGTCTTAAGATGAAAGGAAGACACATGGTTCAATGGACTGGGTAATTTGGTGTGGAATTACCCTTAGGTCTTTTAAGGTGTCACTAAGATCTTTTAAGGTGAACATTCAGGTCTTTTAAGGTGAACATTCAGGCCTTTTAAGGTGCATTATTAAGGTCTTAAGGTGAACAATAAAGTAATTTAGGGTACAACATAAAGGTGCAACATTAACAAAAAAAATTTATTAAATAAAAATATGAAAAGACATGTTGATTATTACTGTGATGTGATTACTGTTTGTACATAAATTTTATTTTGTTAGAATAAGGTGTAAAAAAAAACTTTTAATAATTGTAAAAAATATGTTTATTATTACTATGCTTACTTTGATATGATTACTACTGAACTTGATTATAATCGTAAATTTATTTTTATTAACATATGTTTTACAGCGGAATTAGGGGATTATAATCAAGATGAGTTTGGAGATGGTTATCTAAAAGATTTGAAGCTTCTTCCGAGACAGGCATATTTTTTTTGTTAGCCTTTTTATTTTGATTAACAATATTTATATTTAAAAATCATATACACACATATACAGAGGGACTAATTTAGAATAAAGTTATATACATGCATATAGAGAGATTTTAGAAAAAAATAATTTGGACAGCAGTAATACTCTGCCACAATTTCACTCCCCAAATTAATGCTTGGCAACAAAGGAGTGGTTGGGGGGGGGGAGCAGGGATATTTTTTGTCTTGTATTGAATTAAGTTTTCTATTTAATTGCATATCTAAACATGCACGTTTAAACCATAAACTCTTTTTTTATCACTTTACTGAATAGCTGTTATTAATTAAAAAATATTTATATTGATCTTGAATTGTGATATAAAATCTTATTATAAAACCATATTAATACTATTATTTTTATTATCATTATCAAAAGTTATGATTTAAACTTTAATATTTTAATTCAAAATTTAATTTAATTTAAACTTTTTATAGTTAAGCAAAACAAAAACACTCCAATAACTTATTTTAAAATATATCTTTATTATTATTATTATTATTTTTAATTATCAATTAACTCGTTTTATTAAAACAATGTTCACAGTTTTTGATAAACTGAGAATTTAATGGCCATAAATATTTCCAGATATTACAATTTGCAATCACTTAATTCGAGCGTTGTTATTATATTATTTTTCAATTCAATTTATGATACCAGCCCATCATAAAGTATAAACCTTGAAACACCCATTCAATGGGACTGCAATTCAATGACATTGGGAAATTAAGTGAAATTTTGACTTAATAGTGCAACAATAAAATCACCTGTAAAATAAGAACCACTTTATTTGATAAAATTTGGTGCAAATGTAGCATATAGTCACACCAAACTATGTTTAACAGAAACGCTTTTTTTGTTTTGTTTTACCAACTGATAGTCTTTTTGCCAGTTTATGAACTTTTTTTAGCACTTTCTTTTGTATTTTGGAAGTAGTTTACTGAAATGCATAAGCCAATTCAAACCGCACTTTAAATAGCAAATCAATATTTTGTTCTATAAAATGAAAATAGTAGTTACAATAAAACAATTTAAACAAAAATTGTTGGTATTACATAGTAGAACAGTCATGTAACCTTTATTTTGAATATAGTGATTGAGTATTAAAGTAATTAGTAATAGTTTAAGTAGTTTAAGTAGTAAAAAACTAACAAAATATAAACTGAAATTGCCATAAATCCTCAACCAGTGAACCAATCTGATTGAAACTTTATCCAGAGTTTAGTGTGACTATATGCTACATTAGCACTTATTTTTATCAAATTATGTAAAGTGGTTCTTATTTTACAATTGTTTTTATTGTCGCACTAAAGTCAAAGTTTCACTTATTTTGAACATTCAAATTGAATTATTTTTTGCAGACAAAAAAGATTTCAAAATATGCATCACAGAGAATCTTGATGTGTACACTATCACCTCTTAAAATATGCATCACAGAGAAATCTTGATGTGTACACTATCACCTCTGACCCAAGAACGCCACGTTCTTGGGTCAGAGGTGATAGTGTCTAAGTGGGGGGCTTAATGATAAGATGAATTGGGGGGGCTTAATGATAAGATGAATTTTGTCTTCTTCAAGCCCCAGTCATGTAAATATTTGTTTTTATAAATTACGAGTGTAAATTATTTTCAATCGGCAAATACAATACTAAAAAAAAAAAAAAAAGCTAGGTTTGCATTATCAGGATCCATGCAAACTGTTTTAAAAGTATTGCTTTTTAACTGAAAACCAACAATACAATGACTTTATTATTTGGTATTAAAACTGTGTCTAAAAGCCATATTTTAAAAGCCATATTTTTGTTTTCTTATTTTAAATATGATTTAATTTGAAAAAGTTTTATTTTAGCATTATTTACATCTGTTCTATTAAGATCAAAAAAAAAGAAAATAGATAACATGCCTATGTTTTCTATGTTTTCTATGTTTTCTATACTTATTTATACTAATAAAACTTTAATTAAACTATATTGATTTCATTATTATTCATGACCAAATGATCAAGTTATATGAAGAAATTTTGAATGAAAAAAGGGAATAAATAAATAAGGAAGTTTTAAGGAAGTTTGATTCTGGGTTAATCAGATAATTTATTAGTACTTAAAGAGAAATTTCCTAGGACCCTAAAAACAATTCATAATAATTAAAGTTCAAGATAACCAGCGTTTGACCGGAATTTAATTGTAAAATTAAATTTATTTAAATGTAAGCTTATGACCAATTATCAAATTTGGGTAAAAAATTTTCTATTGCTACTACAAAATGGGCAAAATTATTTATAATATAATCATAATCATAATGGGCCTTACATAATGGTTATGTTATAAATAATTAAGTTTTAGACAATAATAGTCCTATGATTATTTAATAATAGCCTTATGGTTGTGTTAAAACGAACAAACATGATGTATAATAGTTTTTTACTTTTTTTATTTTTGAGTTTATTCTTATTTAAATTTCAGAATGAAAAACTGCTTGAAAAGATTGTGGAGTGTCATAAAAGTTTGACTGGATGTTCACCTGCAGAAATTGAGAATAAATTTCTTGATATTGTTAAAAGTCAAGATTTGTATGGTGTTGATCCGCACCCTTGCAAGGTAAATGATTGTATGGTTTTGATTAATAACCTTTATAGCTTGTGTAATGCTGCTAATGTAATGTTTTTCTTCTACTAAACTCCTGGAAGTATTTGTAATATTTATAAATCTAAGTAATAATATTTAATTTTCTTCACAACTGAACCACAAACCTTTGTGAAAAGTAAAAATTTTAAGATCTATATGGTATATACTGATTATAGTCTATACTGATTTCCTTTAAAAGGTTTAGAAAAATTTTATTTCATGTAAATTATTTAAATTACTTAAATCTATATGAATTATGTTTTTAGATAATATTTAAAGGTTTATTTTTTTTTTGTTGTCATTATGAAAATAAATTATTAAAGTTATTAACAGGTAATATATTAATTTATATGTATTGGGGCAAGTGAGGTTTCTTAACTTTCTTAACTAAAGCTACCTTATGTAGGAGAAGGTAATAAACATGTGATATAAAAACCCCAAGTTTTTTCTTTTACTTGTTTTTTTTTTTTTTGTTTTTGTTTTGAAAAATAAAAATGCACACTTTAAAATTTAAACCACGTAAACTTAAGCCATGTTGAAAAATCAAGGGTCTTTAGGATCTGAAAAACAAATAAACTAATCCAGAGTTCCAAATATTTAATTATATATTTTTTTGATAAGTTGAATTTGTGAAGACCTTACAATTTTTGACTTTCATAAGTATTAATAAAATTTAATTTAAATTTTTAGGTGGATTTTAAAATATTGACTTGAACCATTTAAATATTTTTAATTATTACTTTAAAAAATAATTGTGCTTTATTTTAATTTTACTTCCACAAGACCAAGAGGGTCACTACAGTTAAAGCAACTGTTTTTTTTTTTTTTTAATTTTGTTCTGAAGCATAAACCTTGGTAATCGACTTGACTGCTGTGAGGAAAAACAAGTTTTATGAATCAAGAACTTCTTAGCTATGAAACAATCAGTCTGTTTACTATTGCTAGAAACCATTGTAAAAAGATTTTACAATGGTTTCTAGCAATTCAAATTCTAGAAAAGTCTACTTATCTCACAAAATCTTGTATTTTATCTCAAAAATTAGGCTCCAGTAACTCTTTTTAGAATCCTTAACAGTGTCTATAAGAAGTATCTTCATAAATAATCCCTCCTCTCTTGCATGGCTCAGATTTTGTCACCTCACTTAAAGACATAAGACAAAGGCTGATTTGTTTTCTAAGGACTTTTCATCAATCTTATTTCTTGATTCCACTAATCACATCCTAACTGACATAGCTGACAAACAGATTGATTCATCGCTTGACATTCTTATCACTCCAACTTCTGTATCTAAAGTGATTTCTTGCTTAGACTCTTCTACAGCTTGTGGTCTGGACAACATACCTGTTATAGTCTTACAGAAGTGTTCTTTATCTATACTTTTGAAACTATTTAACAAGTGCTTATCAGAGTCTTGTTTTCTAGCCTGCTGGAAAGCAGCATCTGTTATCCCTGTTTTCAAAAAATTATGTAAAGCGATCTGACTCGTTTAGTTACCATCCCATTAGTCTACTTCCTATCATAAGCAAGGTTTTTTAATTGTTAATTAACAAACACTAAATCTCTCATTTTGAATCTAATAATTTACTTTCTGGTCATCAATATGTATTTCGATCTTCTTATTCTACTGCTAATTGGTTAAGGGTAATAACTGATATGTTTTATTGCACATCAGATAGATGTGGAGAGGCTAAAGTTATAACTCTTGACATTTCTAAAGCTTTTGATAAAGTTTGATATGCTGGTCTTCTCCATAAGCTCTCTTATCAGTTAATATTTTTAAGATTATTGAATCCTTCCTATTAAGTTGTCCTCGATGAACAGCACTCTTCTTCATATCCTGTAACTTCAGGGGTTTCTCAAGGTTCTACCCTTGGCCTTATACTTTTTTTAATCCACAGCCCTGCAAAAAATAGAGTTTTATCTAAAAGTTTGAAGAACCCATTACATTACATACCCATTACAGAACATAATTTAAACAAAGTTAAACTAAGGCTTCTTTATTCTTTTATTTTCATGTCTTTTGAATAAAAACTTTTTCTAGCAATAAATGCATACATTATACAGTGCAAAAATAATTTTTTGCTATAGATATTGGGTGGTCAAATCTTTTTGGCCATAACTGTATATAATTGTTAATTGCAATTTGCAACTTTTATATATTTATTTTTAATTATTTATATTTTTATATTTATAATTTTGATAAAAAATGAGAGATAACTTCATCTTATAATCCTACAAAGCTAAATTTTCAGTATATTAAAATTTATAACATGTAATAAAATTTAAAAATAAGTAAAGACTAAAACCATAGAAAACAACAAAACAACATAAAAAAAAAAAAAAAATAGCAACAATAATGAAACCTTAAAAAAATCTTCTTTTTTTTTTTTTTTTTTTGTTTGTTTGCTTTTAGTTAGGATATAAAGTTAGTATTAGGATAGCTTATAAAATTGTGTTGAGTAAAGTAAAAAAAGAATTAGCAGGAACAGTTAATAGAAGTTAGTCTACGGGAAAAAAGTTACTATAATCATTAGTTTCAAATTTAAAAATTTAATATTAAAGTCAAATTTAAGTAGAACCTTTGATTCTAAAGTAAAACTTTTTTTTAAGAATCATGATGGTTTACCTTTGTATCTTAGTTTTTTTTAAGGACCATGATGATTTACCTCTGTATCATGGTTTTTTTAAGGACCATGATGATTTACCTCTGTATTTTGTTTTTTTAAGGACCATGATGATTTACCTCTGTATCTTGGTTTAACACCTCATGGTATACAAGTTATTCGAGAGGCCAAACGAGTTTCTGGATTTGTCTGGTAAATATTTTTTAAAAGTTATTTACTTTAAAACTTTGGTAAATGTATCATATATATCTTATGTATATATTTTATTTTATGTATATATTATTTTTTATAGTATATTTTATGTATATCTTATATTTAAAAACTTGATACAATAATTTCATGTGTGAAGAAATTAAAATTTTTATAAATAAATACTTGTATTGATATTGAGGTTAAAAAAATGATAATCATTTTATAAAGTTATTAAATAAATCCTCTGATATCTGATTAATATCAGTTATCAAATGTTTTTAATTTTTATAAATCACTAAATTGTAAAATTTAATGTTGATCTGTGTCTACTTGATTTTTAGAAATATTTAAAATTTTCTAGATCAAATATAATATTTTTAATTATGTTATTTTGTTAAATTTGGTTATTAATTCACTAAAATTACTCAGTTCTTTTTTAATAATAACACTCCTCTCAAAAATTCGAGATAACCTCTTTTAGCTGACCCAGAGAAACAGGATGAATTCTTTAAGCAACAGTCAAGACTTAATATAATTATACATTCTGAATAAAAGTTACGTTTACAAATTCTTTTACAATTGCTTGCTGTTAAAATCAGTCGCACAAATTTGAAGTTGAGACTCATATTCTGGGTCTTTTGACGCTTGTACCTTTGCCAAGGTTTGCTCACTGTAAATATCCAAAGAAGTGTTTTTTCTTGAGATGAAATCCTTGGTGTGAAAAAACACAGCATGAACTTTTGGAGTTACATTTCCTGCTGGTAGTGCCAAGAACGATTGCTTGAAAAGTTCAATTTTTTGTGCATGTCATGCTGCAGTTCGTTTCCAATAACCACAGTATCAAACTTTCTCAGAGCATCAATAAGCAGTTCAGAAAAATCTTTATAGTGAATAATTGTTGCCATTTCGACTTTTAACCCTTTCTCTTGCATGACTTCTAGCTTTGAATATGTGAAAAAACTTGCAAGATTGGTTCCTATTTCAAGAAACTTAGAGTCAATGTATGGTTCAGTGACTTTAACCTGTGACTTTAATTTGATTAAGAGTTGATGCTAGCTTTCTTATGCCATTGTTGGACATTCCTGTATTGATCTGAATTTAGGCAAGATCTTGTGCTGTCACTCTTGTAGGGGCCTCAAACAACTGCAGAGAGCTTGAAGAACCTGTCAGATTATAAATTTATAATTAAGTACATTGTGTTTAGGTTTAAAAATAAATTTATGAACATAGCAAAAATCTACTTGGTGTCAATGCCAACGGTCGTCGACTTTGAGCTTGATTTAGGCGAATTGTTCCATGTGGTGATGCCTCTTTTTGACTGATAACAGTAGCAGCTATTTGGTCATAAACTTTGCTATCTTTAGCTGCAAGCAACCTCATGTTTTCCTGAAATGCGTATTCATTGCAAGGATAGGACATACCTTTGCCAAGAACTGCAAGAAATTTGGAGCATCTATGGTCACCCTTCTAGTTTTCAGTCTTCTGCCAATTTTCCAAAGGATACCTTTGATTGAGCTTGATTTGACCAATTTGACAGGTGAGACATTGGCAAGCTTGCTCTCTTGTGGAAATCTTGAGATAAATTTCTTGAAAATTAAATGGCAGTGGTATGCTTACTTCTTTGCCTTCATCTTTTCTCCTCATTGGTAAACGGCATCCTTCACAAATTCCTTTTGGAACTCTTGAGTCTTGAAAATCAACATCTCTTTGGAGAACTGTCTTCACTTTTGTAATTATTAAAGGTGTTACCTCTCGTTTTGCCTTGTGCATGCAAAGAAAACAGACAGTTTTTTGGTTTTCTTTATGTGATTTTGCAAAAGTGGGCATTTTTATTGCGGCAGTTGAAAATTATGCTAATCATAAATTTTTTCTAAACAAATAAATCATGCATTTTCCCAAAAAATTTACTTGAAAAATGGAAATTTATAGTGAGTGTACCTTGATTGTCGCATACAAAAGGACACCAGTCAGTAATACAATTATATATGCTGTAGAAATGTCAAAAGCTGTCATTTACACTATTGATGTTGATAGTAATAAAATTAAATGTTGAAAATTATGTATTTGAATGTTAAGTTCAAAAAAAAAAAGGAAACAATGATTGGTTGTTATAAAAGCAAATGGTCAACAGTTTTTTTATTGTTTTTATTCTTAAAAATGATCTAGTTCATGGATGATTTCTAAACAAAAATAATTCAAAACACATTAACTCTTTATCTCTTAAAAAGCAGTTTTTTATTTATTAAAAAGCACATTATTTTTATTGTTAATAAATATAGAATCTAGTATGTCTAAATTTGCTGCATCTTGCTCTCCTGTTTTGCATAAACTATTTTGCTATCTTTTTATAAACTAACTTGCATTAACTTGCAATGCCAAAGCATGTTTTTTACTGCTGTTAGCATCAAAATATGTTATCTTTATTTAATTGACTAATAATAAAAAAGTTATAAAGATATAATAATGATTTTTAATTGGTAATTTACATTTTTATATACAACACAATTTTTAATTTGTAATGAAATTTTCTTAATTGCTTAAACTTATATAAGTACTAAATTATTATAAATAATATAAAATCTTTTCCAAAAAATATTTTTTAGGTCAGTTATAAATAAAGTTTATAAATATATTGTTTTCAAAAAAATATTTTTTAGGTCAGTTATAAATAAAGTTTATAAATATAATGTTTTCAAAAAAATATTTTTTAGGTCAGATATAAATAAAGTTTCATATGACAACAAGTTATTTTACATTCAAACACTCAAGCATAAGGTATTTTTTATAAGAAAATTTTTAAATATATTTTACAATAATTTTTTACTTTTTGATTGTAATTATATATTGTTATTAGTTTTTTTTTTTTTTTTTAATCTATTCTTTAAAAAGAATAATTTATGAGGCTTAGTAATCTAACTGTACAATTTCTTTAAAAAACTTTTTAAATGTGTTAAAAAAATATTTTAATGCACCCAAACGTTACTTGCAATTCAGTTATTACAATGAAAAAACAATTTATTTGGTTCTCTCAAAAAAATTAAATTATGAAGAACTTGTTTAGTCCTTTCATAGTGACTTTTCAATTGTATTCATAAAACATTCATCTAGTTCAATAGTTCATAGTTCATCTAGTTTTTGCATCAGTACTTTGGAATTCTCTCCCCTTATTATGTTTTCCTGATTTAAATAATTTTCAGCTTTCAGTTTTTTTTTGTTTTTTTATTTTCTTTCACTTTAATTGTTTCATTTATTTTTTAAGTGGCTGACTGCAGTTTTTTGACAGTGAGTTTGTATTTTTTAAGTGGCTGGCTGCAGTTTTTAGATAGTATTTTAAATTTTAAGTTTAAAGGACAAAAAAAAAAAAACAGTTTCTTTGGAAATTTCTTAAAATTGTGTCTAGACTAATATAATAAAATTTTTTATTTTCTATAAATATTATAGATTTAATACATATTACTTATAAATCATTGTATCAAATAATTATAAGAAAATTTTAATTAAAAAAATTTTTTTTTTATCCAGTTGCATGTTATCGATACACGTTACATGCTATCAACACAGTTATGTGTTTACATGCTATCAACACAGTTATGTGTTTACATGCTATCAATACAGTTATGTGTTTACATGCTATCAATACAGTTATGTGTTTACATGCTATCAACACAGTTATGTGTTTACATGCTATCAATACAGTTATGTGTTTACATGCTATCAATACTGTTATGTGTTTACATGCTATCAACACAGTTATGTGTTTACATGCTATCAATACAGTTATGTGTTTACATGCTATCATTACAGTTATGTGTTTACATGCTATCAACACAGTTATGTGTTTACATGCTATCAATACAGTTATGTGTTTACATGCTATCAACACAGTTATGTGTTTACATGCTATCAATACAGTTATGTGTTTACATGCTGTCAATACAGTTATGTGTTTACATGCTATTAATACAGTTATGTGTTTACATGCTATCAATACAGTTATGTGTTTACATGCTATCAATACAGTTATGTGTTTACATGCTATCAATACAGTTATGTATTTTGACTAAAGTAGTTTTAAAAATAAGACAAAAGTAAAATTTTTGTAGGAATTTCAAAAAAAAAAGTCATGCTGGAATGCCAGATTTTATTTTTTACCTTTGTTTTTTAAGACATGTTACACAGACTGTGTAAATTAAATCAAAAAATCATTGTTCTACAGGGGAATGAAGGACTATAGGTAAACCTAAGTAAAAAATACAAATGTCTAAACTAACAAATTGTAATTTTCTTTGCAATGATCAATTATGTAAGGATTTCTGGAAGTTTAGGAATATTGTGGCGCAAAAAGTGTTGTTCTCCAGTTTTGGGCAACAAACTCTTTTTTCATCAAAAATGTTACCTGCCTCTGAGAATGGTTTTATTTTAAATGTTAATTTAATTTTAATTAAAAAAATATAGGATGCCTATTACAGTAAATATTTCAATTTTAATCTAAATGGAAAAATAGAAAGTAATAATTTTAAATATGCAAGTAAAAACTTTTAATGCATAAAATTACAAAAACAAATAAAAGCAACATATTAGATTTAAATGAAACAAGAATCAAATTAATGAATTAGGTTTTTCATAAATAAAATTCTTATTCCGGAATTCTGTAAACAATTCCGGCTCTGGCTGGAATTTAAAATTTTTGTTCCGGTACACCCCTACTAAGATTTTTTCTCCTCAAAAAAAAAAGTGAAGCGGTAAAGAATGCAGTTGTTGCCAATCCTCATCATTTTAGATTTAAAAAAAAAATTTTTTTAAAACTTGCAAACTTTCGTGTGTTTTGTTTATAACTTGTTATATTATTTTATTTGTTTAATTGTGTTTATCTTTTGTGATTGAAAAAATTATTTTTATTTTTATTTTTATTTTAAGAAAAAGCAAAATTATGTCTTTTGTTTAAATGATACTCCATCTTGCAAACACCTCTGGAAATGTACTGTAGAACATATGTCTTTTTACAGGTTAGAAAAAAAGTTTTATTAAAAAGTTGTTTTAATTGCAAAAAAGTTGTTTTAATTTAACTTCAATTTTTAGAATTGTATTTTTTTTTGTTTATGTTGGCAACCTCTTTTAAAGGTTTTCTTTGTTGCTTATGTTTCTTAGCTGACTTTTCTATAGCAGTCTTCTCTGTTTAGCCAGCACTTTCATGCTTAAGTCTTTTGGTGCTCGCCCACACCCCCGCAAAAACAATAGTGCTAGGAAAAGTATGGCAAAAGCTCAAAATCATTGAAAAAAATGAATAAAAACTTAGAAGAACAAATTCAATTATTTATCTTTCCAGGATATTAGCAAGTTTCATACAGGAAGTTATTATCCTTTAAAAAAAAGATTTGTTGAATATAAATAATAATATAGAAAACTTTCAACGGATTTTATTAGTCTGTTTAAAAAGGGCTTATAAATCATAGATTTATAGACCACAAGGTCTGATATTATAAGCTAAGTTCTTTATCAGTGATAAAGAATTGTAATTTGCACACATGTAATACATAAATGAAATAAAAAACAAAAAGTTTCTATCATATATATTTCCGATTTTAAGAAACACATATTTGGTACTCTCTGTAGATCAAGGATATCAATCTTTAATGAAGGATAGTTTAAGATTCAGGTTTGATCCTGAAGGCTCAAATTTTAAATTTAACATTAAAATAATGACAAAATATTAAAATAAATAATCTTAACTAAATAAATAATCAATATACACACAAAGATCTATTAAAAATTATACTATAAAGCCAAATTGAAAAATACTATATCAGGTTTAGCAAAAATTAAAAAATTCCTAATTTAACTAGAAAATGATATAGCTTAAGAAATTAAAAAAATTTTTTTTAATGTTCTCCTGTTATCATTATGTTAACTTAGGTAACATAATATCAACAGAAAGACAATATAAAAATTATTTTAATATCAGCAAATTTACCCAAGAATAATAAAAGACCGACATAATAAATAATGTACAAAAAATGCTAGAGATATATCTATATATAACATATATATATGTTATATATATATATACATATATATACATATATACATATATATATATATATATATATATATATATATATATATATATATATATATATATATATATATATATATATATATATATATATATATATATATATATATATATATATATATATATATATATATATTATATATATATATATATATATATATATATATATATATATATAGTTTTAATATATATGTATTGTAATATATATGTATTAAAATAGTTTTAATATATATGTATTGTAATAATATATATTTACAAATTTAAAGTTAGTTATATTTAAAACACATTTTAACAAATGATATACATACAAAACAAAGCATAAAGAAGTTTAAAAGTGTGGATATATGTATATATATATATATATATATATATATATATATATATATATATATATATATATATATATATATATATATATATATATATATATATATATATATATATATATATATATATATAATATATATATATATATATATATATATATATATATTTTATATATATATATATATATATATATATATATATATATATATATATATATATATATATAAATACATATATATATTTATATATATATATAATTATAAACCGCTCTGTTATGAAATTTATATATAATCAAAATAAATTTCTTAAATATTGAGCACTTTTCAACGAACAAGAGTTGTGTATTATTTTAATACAACACTACATAAAACGATATATATAATTATATATATATATATATATATATATATATATATTATATATATATATATATATATATATATATATATATATATATATATATATATATATATATAAAATCAGCAATTGTTTTTATCATTCTAATGATTAAAGCTATGAAGCATTTTTCCTCTTAAACTCCATAAGCAACGTTATTTCATATTTATATCCATGTTTGTATTTCCTTTTGTATCTTTGTAAGCTGCTTGCTTCAGACCAAGTCCATATAGTCTTGTCTCTAAATATTTTAAAAATTGAACACATGCAAATATTGTCCATTAAACAGTTCAAGAAATCTTAACTCTATGTGCAGGCTTATTATAAACCACTATGTATTTACAGACTGTCACCTTATTGAAAACTAAGTTTTTAAATGTATAACGAGCAAATTGCTCTTCAGTTTTTCAGTCTTTGACCAGATATAAATTTTGGTATTACATGATTTACTGAATAATTGAATATACTTGATAAAAATACAGTATTTATATTGTCTATATGACAATATTAAGGTTATTCTCAAAACTATACACCCACCAGTGCTGTGGCTAATACCATTACATTGTCATTTCTTCTAGGTTCTATTCAAGCTGAATAGGTAAAAAAAAACTATGTTTTGTTCATAAGGTTTTAGTTTTTTATGCAAATTTCATTTTGTGAAAATTTTACGTAGGTTGCTTTTGGAATTATAAAAAGTAAAATGGCTACAGAAAGTTTGATTGATGGATCAACCTTTTGTTTATCTACTGGAAGAAATCCGCTCAAAGTTACAGTTGGCACACCAGAAAACAAATCAAAAAGAACTTCTTTTAAGCAGCTTTCCATCGAAATAATAAAGCAATTACAAATTGTGTCAGAACTTTCAAATAGAAAAACAAAAGAGATGCTTTCTACTTTACGCAAAGGTTTAGGAAATAAGCTTTTCATTGAGCCTAATATTTTTGGTCGTCTTTCTGAATTAGAAGAATATATTTCTAATTACTACAGTGTGCGGTATCAATTTTAAGCTGTTGTTGAAGGTATTCTTGAATCTAACTATAATTTGAGACTTGTTATAGAAAAATTAAATTTGCAAGATGTCAGTTTTTATGTTGCTTTTGACTTGAAATGTAGAAACACGCTGTTTGGTTTATCAGGACATTCTAGGAAAAAAACTTGTTTATGGTGTGAAGGAATATCTACATTAAATTTAGGGACTAAACAAACTCTTGGCAGTATTGATTATTGGTACAATAAATATTTAGAAAATAACTCAGTAAAATCATCCATGCAAGAGTTTATGAACTGCATCAATCCTCGATTTTTGTATATTAATTTGGATTCGAATACTTTAATTGAACAACTTGTTCCTCCACCTAAACTTCATTTGTTAATTGGTTTTGTTTAACTGCTTGGAAGTTTTTTTGTTAGAAAATCTGGATTCACTTGAAAAATAAATTTTAGAAACATTTAATTGTTTGATTCCAATTGTTCAGTGTTTGAGAGATTTTAGAAATTTAAAAAATTGTTGCTTTTCCAGCAATCTACAAACAGGCTTCAAAGAAGCAATAACAAATTTAAAGAATTCATTTCTTTCTGCACATGAAGTTGCAATAAATTAAATAAACAAGTAAATACAACATGGAATGTCCACATTCTACTGTGTCATGTAAAGCCATATGTGGAACACCATAACAAAGGATTGGGTAACTTTGCTGAACAATGTGTAGAAAGTATTCATGCAAAGTTTAAACCAATATGGACAAGATTTAAGAAGTGAAAAGAGCATTCCGAACATAGTGACAGGCTATTATCAGCAGTAGTTGGAGCAAAAAGAAATTTGATTTTGTTTATAAATTTATTTATATAGTTATACATATATTTATAAAGTATATATATATATATATATATATATATATATATATATATATATATATATATATATATATATATATATATATATATATATATATATATACATGTATGATTATGTTATAGGGTTATAGGATAGTTTGTTTCAAATTTGAATATACATGAAATAGTTTTGAATGTGTAGATGAAAACAGTTAATACGTAGATTGACTCAGGTTATTTTTAATCGAAGAAGAGTTAAATTTATCTGTATCATATCATATTCATATTTTGTTGAATTATGTACAATATTTTCATAAATAATATAAATATTTTGTTTGTTTATACTTAGTTTAAATATTTGACATTTATTTTAAAAAAATGTTGTAACGGGCATCTAAAATGTTTAAATAGGCGTAGGGCCCCCTCAATTTTACTATTTGCCCCATTTACGACCCTTAGCTTTTTTTTCTTTAAAGAAAAAAAAGGTTGTTTCTATTTTTATTAAACAAATACTTTTGAATGCAAAGCTTTTTTTTTTTTTTGTAATGTGCAACTAGCATATCTAAATGGGCTTATGTCCCCCTTGTATTTACCCTTTTGCCCCAATTATGACCCTTAGCAATTTGTTCAGATTTTAAAAATCATTTTTTTTATTGTTATAATACAAATACTTGTATTTGTATTATAACAATAAGAGTGCCACAACATAAAACATGGCTCTCAGATGCACAACATAAAACATGGCAGTCTCTCAGGTGCACAACATAAAACATGGCTGTCTCTCAGGTACACAGTGTAAACTGTGTATTAAATTCTTTGCAAAAATAAAATACATAATACAAAAATAAATAAAATAAGATAAAATAAAAATAAATAAGATAAAAAGAATAAAATTAGCTATTTATTAAATTATGCTAGCTTATTTCAAATTACAAAATAGAACTAGATTTACTTTAAATTAAAAAATATGATTCTTACCATTACCCTACAGGCATATGTTTAAAAGTTACATTTAATAATTTTTGATTAATTTGTAGAGCAATAAATCCATCTTCATTTTTTTTCGTAAATTTATTTATAAAAAAAGTTCATAGTTTGTTGTTTTCAATGCTCTAGAGATCTGAACAATAATTTTACATGTAAACTCCCTTACTTTAACTACTTTACATGTAAACTCCCTTACTTTAACTACTTTACATGTAAACTCCCTTACTTTAACTACTTTACATGTAAACTCCCTTACTTTAACTACTTTACATGTAAACTCCCTTATTTTAACTTCTTTACATGTAAACTCCCTTACTTTAACTACTTTACATGTAAACTCCCTTACTTTAACTACTTTACATGTAAACTCCCTTACTTTAACTACTTTACATGTAAACTCCCTTACTTTAACTACTTTACATGTAAACTCCCTTATTTTAACTTCTTTACATGTAAACTCCCTTACTTTAACTACTTTACATGTAAATTCCCTTACTTTAACTACTTTACATGTAAACTCCCTTACTTTAACTACTTTACATGTAAATTCCCTTACTTTAACTACTTTACATGTAAACTCCCTTACTTTAACTACTTTACATGTAAATTCCCTTACTTTAACTAAGTTACAATTATTCAATTATTGCTTATACAATTTGTTGAGTTATGCATCAGCGTGGATGCTTCTGAAGATATCTTTGTTCAGATAAATCTATAAATAAATATATATTTTAAATGTTATAAATGTGATAACAATAAAGATAAAAAGGTAAAACAATACAAGCTTATAATTAAAAAAAAAAAGTTTTTTAAATATGTTTTTATATGGACACATTTAAAATATTTAATTTATTTATATTATTATACTTTTTTTAGCCAAAGTAATACGCCAAAGGTTTTAAAGAAATCTAAAATTTTATCTCCACAAAATTTGTTTAGAAAACCAAAGCCAAGGTTTGGGTAAATTTATTACTAATTATACTAATTATATTGCCATAACTATATGTAATTTATAACTAAATTTTTTAAATTTTAAATTTATATTCTTTATATTCTAAAACTTGTAAATTTATAGTATATAAGTTATATGAAATATTTACAATGTAAGAAAAATTTATATAATTGTGAATTTGAAGGAAAAACAAAATAAAAAGGTTCTCTCAACACTCTAAATTACAAGAATAACTTATGTTTTAGGTTAGTGGAAAAAAGCAGTTTTGAACAACATAACAACTTAAAAAATAAGTACTGCGATTAAAATACAACTCCTTGAGAGTCCAAAAAATAAATGAAAATAAACAATGAAAGTTTATTTTTGGTTAGAAAAACATTGTTTTAAGACCACATCAATTTAAGCAAAATGAACAAAAGATAAAATAAATATTTATAAGTTAAAAAAAAACAAAACTTATAAATAGCAATCAGCAGATCAAATGTTTTTGTAAAAAAACATTTGATCTGCTAATTGTTTTTCATAAAATTCTAAAAATAAATTATTTTATAGTTTTTAAGATTTTATTACTTGCTTTTTTAAAATATATAGATAAATTTATCTGATATCTTTATATATCTTTTTGATTCTAAATTTTTAAATGATTTATTATAGTTTTGTTTGTTAAAATAAAACTAATTTAAGACTTTTAAAGTGTTACTTAGCAATTTTATTATTTATATGCAGGTATTATTTGTTTTGTAGAATTTTTAAAATAAAGCCTCTTTCTCCATTTTCCATAGGAAAACGTGGGAGTTCTATAAGAGAACAAAAGCTAAATAATATTTACCTTTTTTTTAACAGCATTTTTAAATAATTATTTATTCTAAGTATGTTTTTAAAATAAATGTGTTTATAAAAAAACAAATAACAATGATAAATGTATTTATCAATAAAATTATTTCAAATGAGTGCATATTAACTTTTTGTCATATTGACAATTATGATGATTTAATCTTGCTAAGAAACAAATTATTTAAAGTTTATTATAATATTTAATTATTTAACCAAAACATAAAATTTCACTTTTACATCAATAATTTAATTGACTTAATGTTATTATTAGAGTTTTTATTAATAAAGCATCAAACCAGATTTTTTTTAAAGAAAAAATCAACAAGCCAGAAATGTCCTTTACAAATAAAATATTGCGATAAAAATGGTAACTTTTTTTAATGTGTTGATAAGTAAATTATTATGGCAATTTTAGTATGATTTTAAAACTTATTTTCAAAGGTTTATTTAAGATTTCCTTTTAAGTTTTTTAATGCTATGTATGTACACTAAACTACCCATGTCCCTAGATAGTTAATGTACAGTAGTGGCCAAAAGTCCTGGAACATCATGTTTTATGTTATGAAAAACAATTTATTAGTAAATTTTTTTCAATAAAGTAAGTGTTTATAACAATTTTAAAGATGATAGGTAAATGCACATACATGATAAAAGTTCAATATTTAATGGAAGCATAGTTATTGTCAATTACCATTTGGATACGTTTTGGCATGCTGTTAACAAGTTTTGTACAATAGTCTGGTGTAATTTCATGGATCCACACTAATTTGATTGCTTAAACTAAATCATTATAGGATCTAGGCTTTTTGGCAGCAACTTTTACTTTCATAATATGCCAACAATTTTCAATAACATTAAAATCTGGTGATGACCCAGGCCAATTTTCAAGGGTTTGAATTCCTTAATCAGCAAACCACTTCTTTACAATTTTGGCTGTGTGGCATGGTGCACCATCCTGTTAGAAATAAGTGCAGTTCAAGATCTGCATGAAAGGTGGCAACTTCTCCTTCATAACATCCAAATAGACTTTGCTGTTTATTGTGGTATTCTTGGGCATTATCCATAATAGCCCACGTCCTTTGGCAGAAATAGCACCCCAAACCAGACAAGACACAGGAGCCTTGACACTGCTAACTGTATATTTTGGCATATATCTACAGTTTTTTGGTCTTCTTACAAAGTTGTTTGTAACATTAAATTGTTTAATACATGTTTCATCAGAAAAAAGAAATTTAGACCAATTTTCTCCAGTCCAATTTTTGTAGCGCTGACAAAATGTTTTTCAATCTTTTAGGTTTTTTAATGATAAAAAAGGTTTTTTTGCTGGCTTGCATGCCTTCATTTTGAAATCAACTAAAAGCCTTCTTCTAACTGTTCGGTCACTTACTTTTTTCTCAATAAAAATTTATTTTGAAATCTTGTGTGCAGATAGCTTTGGATTTGCATGGCTGATCCAGCCAATAAGTTTGTCAGTTCTTGAGGTGGTTGCTCTGGGTCTGCCTGATCTCATCTTTGAAGTAAAATTTAATTGGGGCTCTTTTTTATGCCTTTTTAAAGTTCTACTTACAGTTGATAATGAACAACCAAGCTTTTCAGGTATTTCTCTTTGAACTAAATTTGTTCATATAATGCAGCAATAATTCCTCTTTTTTTAGGTGAAAGTTCTGGCATAATATAGCTGATAAATTGCTTATGAATAATAAAAAACGATAATAAATTGCGCAATATACAAATATGTAACTATAAACATATTGCTATGTAAAAACAAAAGCATCAAACCTTCAAAATTTATACTTTAGATCAAAAATAAATTTTTTTGGTTGTTAAATGTTTTGTTCCAAGACTTTTGGCCACCACTGTATGTACACTTGAATCATTCAATAAAACAAAAATAAAAAACAAAACAAAACAAATAAAATTGTAACTATATAAAAACTGTATCAAACAAAAAAACATAAAAAAGAACATTCTAAATTTAAAAAAAATATTTTCTAGTCAATTAAGTTGTGTTTTTGTGGTTTTTGAAGTCCAAAATGCTGAGACATATCTTAACTAAACTTTAAAAGTTCATAGAAAATCACCTTAGATAATAAGTTTAGAATTGATTAAGTTTACTAAAAAAGTTATTTATCAAGATATTATCAAAAAACCTTTTCATTTTTAAAACCATTTTGTTTTTCCCAAAGGAAAGTTCCGGCTTTTTTTTTTTTTTTTTCAAAACTTGACATTCCTTTCATCAATAAATATTAATCAAATGGTGCATATTCTGGTATGATTGCTTACGGATAACTTGCCAACTATTCTTTATAGAATTTTTTTTAAACTATGAAAAGTTTTAGGAATACTCTGGAGAAAAGAAAGCTGAGGGTTAAAAACAAGTTGCTCTAATATAATTTAAAAACCAAAAATAATATTTTTGGTAATAATAAAATATAAAAATAAATTTGTTGGTGAAAACAAAATGCTATGATTTTTTAAATAAAAGTAGTTATTTAAAGGGATCCCAAACTGCCGAGACAAGTTGTGTTCATATTTTTAAAAAATGTTTAAAAAAACATTAAGGCTTAATTTTTTTGCCACAATCACCAAATCATGTTAATTGTATAACTTTTTACTAAATCCCCAAAAAAAGTTTATAATGAAATTAAGAATTAAATTTATAAAATTTATAAAAATAAAAAGTTTAATATAGAACGAATATTTACAGTAAACTAAATATAAACTAGATACTAAAAGAATAATTTTACTAAAGCGTATAAGTTAACTTAAAGTATAAACTAAATAAAAAATGAGTGACTTTAATAAAACATATAAACTGAACTAAGTAGAAAATAAATATTAAACAAATTATTTTACTAATAACCGTTTAAATCAAACTAAATTAAAATTAAAACAAATATTTGTACTAAAATATACAAAAAATAGTTATAATATGAATATAAAAACAAAGAATCACATTAAATTGTTTGCTACCAGATGAACAAAAATCTTTTTGAAAAAACTGCACATTTTTTTGGATAGTTTGACAATTATTTAAAATTCGATAATAATAGTTTTTAATGCGCATCATTAAACAATAAGAAATGCAAAGTGCTTAAAACTATCGTTTTTATAAGTAGTTAACTAAAACATTAAGTCCGAAACAAACCTCATTTAATTAATAAAAATAATATTTTTCTTCAAAATAATTTAGTAATTACTTAACTAAATACTTAACACGTCTACAAGTTAAGTTTTACAGTGTTAACGCTGTTTTAAATTTAACTAAATTTAAAGTTTTTTTTTTAAAAAGGATTATTCAAGATTTTTTAACTTTGTGATAATTTTTTTATAATTACACAATATAGCTCTTATTTTTTCTTGATTATGTAGATACTTAAATAAACCTTTAAAAAAAACAAATAGAATGGAAATTTATGAACAAAAAAAGATAAATTGTAAAGCATACTCGAAAGCCGCTACCAGTGGCTTGCGGTAATGAAAGAGTTAAACCAAATCAAAGTTTAGTTTTCATTTTTTTTCAAGATTGACACTTAGAGCTGAAACGCTTCATAAACTGAATGGCATTGAAAAAGTTTTATTATAATCGTAAATTTTAAAAAAATTAAAATGTTTTCAATACTCTCTAAACACACCATTCATTCAACAAAACCAAATTTTTATTGAAAAAATTAAGCATAAGCCTAATATAAGGCTTAAAAATGGAAATAAAATATTGACGTTACAAAAAGCTATAAAATGGTGAAGTTACAAAAAAGCTGAAAAGCTTTTTGTTAATATCTCAATAAGTATTTGGTAAGTTTAATTAACTTTAAACTTATTTTCCTAGCTTTCAAGGTGTTATGCTTTAATTATTTCAAGCTTTAAACAAGTTGTTTTGCTTGAAATAATTCAAGCAAAACAACTTGTTTCCTGAATTATTTTAATGGTATTATGTTTAAGTCGTAAGTGGTTTTTAATTTAATACATAAAAAAAATTTAAGAGCTTTTTTCTTTATCATTTGCAGTAAATTCAAGACAATATATATATATATATATATATATATATATATATATATATATATATATATATATATATATATATATATATATATATATATATATATATATATATATATATATATATGTATATGTATATATGTATATATGTATATATGCATATATATATATATATATATATGTATATATGTATATATATATATATATATATATATATATATATATATATATATATATATATATATATATATATATATATATATATATATATATATATATATATATATATGTATATATATATAGCCTAAAATATCAAGTTTGCTTGACAAATACTTTAGTTTATTGGACACGACCAATAAAATTCAATAAAAATATTAACTTATTTTGAAAAACATTATTTTAAATTTATATAGTTTTAAAATAATGCTTTCTTTTATTGTTAAAACCAATATGCGTGACAAAAGTAAGTTGAAAATACAAGTTAAATTTATAAGCAGTTTTTTGATATTTAAAAAAAAAAAACATGCATGGAGCTACTAAGTTCAATCAGAAACTGAACAGCGGTTTGACAAAAAACTAATCTTATTCAGATTTTAGGGTTCAAAAAACAAAAAAACAAAAATTAATTTGTATTAAAATTAAAAAGTTTATTATTTTTTAAGTTTAATACAGTCGCATTACAGCCATATCTCAGTTTTTTCTGAGAGATTTATAACAATGAATTTTATTGTTAAAATTATTATTTTTAAAAAATTAATTTAATTTTTCGGACACAAATCACAAATGAAGTATTGCATTTAAAAGATATTTGGAGTAATCATAACTCAATACATTTATTCAATTTTTTATTGGTAAAAATTTATAATATACATTTTAAAAGGAAGTATTTTTGCAACTTCTTCCTGAGTAACAATATGAGTTGCATACCAAATAGTTTTTTAAACGTTTATTGATGCAGCTACTTAGACATACACATTTTTTAAAACCTTGACCACTACCAACTGAATCTAATGGTACTAACTCTTGCAAAGTCTTTTCTTCTTTGAAGACATCATCAACAATTAACTGATAATATTTGGTAGATTAAATACTATTACAATCCTAAAAAGAATTTGATATTCCGTGTTTTGTACCAACTTTTTATTTTTCACTTCTTTCTTCAATTATCAACCCTATTAAATTAGCTGGATCTCCACATCCACAATCAAACTGGCTAATGCCAATAAGCACATAATCACCTATTTTCAGAGGATCTAACTGTTTATTTGATCTTTTCTTTGCTTGAATACACAAATTATAAGCAGCCAATATTCTATTTTTATTTGCTGGCTGGATAGAATCTGCAATACTTGGCATTGAGTTGCTCTCAAGAATAAGCTATAACGTTGTTACTAATACTACATGTATTATTTATCTCACTTCCAAGACTTTCCAAATCTTGGTTTGTTGTATTTAATACAGTTAGTTCATTTTTGTTACTTTGTAATATATCAAATAATGGTCAAATAGCATCTTCAATAGTAACAATTAATGATGTCATGATCATGCAATATATTTTTTTCACAAGTCATTTCCTCTTGTAAAATATCTTTACTACAAATAATAAATACTGGCATGTTGTGATTTTATCCAGATTACTTTGTTCTCTCCCTTTCAACAAAAATTCTTCAAAAACTCCATTGTTAATTTTCATTAAAAATTTCTGAGGAATTAATGAAGATAAAGTTTATTGTGTTTTTGACCAAACACAGCACTATATGGATCCATTTTAATAGCTTTTTGGTAAGTAGTATTCATTCCCCATTGAACAATGTGTAATTCAAAACTCCATTTAGTTGTTTTATTGTTTCTCATCCATGCAATCAATCATTTTTTTAAAGTTGGGTAGCTTCGCCCAACTGAACCTTGACTTTAGGGATATCGTGGTCTGCCATAAACTAATAATAGGTTTTCCAACAACATCCCTAATTCTTGAATAACTAAGCTTGTAAATTGCTATCCATTATTTGATTGTTATATATGTGTATTAAAATATTCGTAGCCCCAAAGTCTAGAAAAACATTAAATAGTTTTCTAGATTTCTTTGACATAAGAGGACGAAAAATACTATATTTTGTTAAATATTCTTGATAGTGAAAGATAAACTTAAAATCACTATCATGCAAACTTTGAAAATCAATGAGATCAACTTGTCTTCTTTGATTTAAGTGTTTAACTGTAATAGGGCAGACTACAATTCCTTTATGCACAGGTTTCCATGAGTTTTCAGTACATCTTTCATATGTGCTTGTAAAACTCTTGGCAGAAGCTAATGTTATACTACTGTAATGTACCATAATTCGTTTGTCTGATATTCTTGCAGCTTTTGTTATTCCATCAAAAACAACTAATTTATAGGTACCTTTCGCACAATAATAATACCTTGGAGAAGTTTAATTGTTAATAATATATTCAAAGTTTAAAATTTCAATGATGTTATTTTCGTCATTTTTGCACTATTGCTTTTTATGGTTTTTCACTTCAGTTGACATTTTATAGTTTAAACTTTAAATAATTTTAAGAATTTGGAACTGTCGGAATAATGTTGCTTTCACTCAGTTATGGGTTATAATAATATTTTGCAAATTCAGCAACAATTGTGCCGAATTCGTGAAATACACAAAATTTTGCCCATTTTACGAATTTATTTCGCAAATTCGGCCTAACACATATATTGTTTATTTATTATTTTATTGTAAAATTATAAGTAAACAGAAAATTAAAAAAATATTAATACACTAGAATTTATTTTTGAAAAATTAATTATATATGCAAGCTTTTTTAAAAAATAAAAAAACTAAAAAAAAAAGTCTTGATGTTTACCGTTGTTTAAAAATCTAAAATCTATTTTTTGAGTTACAAGGGAAAAATTTTTCTGTTGTAACTCAAAAAATGACGTACTTTATGACCAGATTGTTGCAGTGCATTTAATAAAATACATTTTTTGAATGACTAAAGTACAACTTTGTTTTTTATTTGTACTAGTTAAATAATTGCATTTTAAATCTTTTTCAAATAAAACTTCCAAAGTTAACACAGAGATATGCATTATGTTGTTTTAAATTTCGTCTGTTAATCAATCAAAAAATTTATCATATAAAAAAAGTACACAGTACTGTGTTTATGTATGTATACGCATATTTATAGTAGTATTTATATTTTATAATTCTTTTTGTAGTGGAAAACCAGAACATGCAGTTATTTCTGATGAAATCATAAGACCTTCACCACCTACATTCACAAGGTATTTATTTAACTTATATGTAACTAAACTTTCTAATAATTTATATTAGAATCATAAATCTGTTTTTAAAATAATGAATTTTTAAAAAATTATATTTATATATATTTTTTTAGTATTCAAAATTAATAAATTCATTTATTATTTTTACAAAGCCATCAGACATATCATCTCACACCTGATATATACCAAAAATCTAATATTAAAAGAGTAAATGAACTGTTATACTTACAAAGTAAATGAACTGATTAATTTTACTAAATTACTCTGTCGCAATTTGCTAATCACTTAATATTTAATAGTTATTTACATTTGTACATCTCACCTAACTACATACTTTATATTTATTTTTTTGGATTTTTAGCAATGCAGAAAATTATAAAAAAAATTGATATAAATGTTGTTTTACTTTCTCTTTTCTTATGTATTTTTTTTATAACTTTTATTATCTATTATATATTTGTTACCTTCATTTCATTTTGTCAGTTTGCTTATAACTTTATAAGTTATTATTCCCCATGCTGTTATGTAGCATGTAACATAATTAGATAAGTTACAGTCTACAATCACAAAATTAAAATCTTGCAGTGGCAGGTTTTTATAATGTTATTTTACTTTGTGTATTCATAGTTAAGTAAGTTGTGTACAGTCATAAAATTATTATCAGGTCATAGCTAAAAAATGGGACTGGATTTAAAGATATATAAACCAAGATAGCTCCTATAAAGATAGCTCCTATAAAATATATAGTAAAACAAAAAGTAAAATCTTTTAGAAAATATATTTTTTCTAATTTCTCTATATATAATTAGTTATTTTCAATTAAACCATTCCTCTTTACACTATATGCTAGACCTGGTATAGACTGAGCTAAACTCTATATGAGCTTAATATCATTTTTTTTAGGCAATCTTGATCATAAAATATAATTTTATTAGATATTCTGCTTGCCAAACATTCTTGTAGACAAGACCTTTCAAACTACTCCAAAATTTGTTTGAAAACTCAAAAAAGTGACTGAATAGATAACAAAAAAGAAACTTACTTTGTGAGATGTTATTTTTCTTTTGCAAAAGTTTATTGATGCAAGTTTATTATTAACTCTTTTTAAAAAAGCAACGCTAAAAATAAACAATCACAATATAAATCTCTATGTTTTTATTTCAAAACTGAATCCTTGGCTTTGAGTTTCAATAATGAGACTACCCATTAATCATTTTTAACAATAGACACCAACTCTAAAGTAAGCTAGGTCGTCTATCAACACAAAGCATCACAACATTAAACATCACAAAATTAACAAATAGCATAGCATGTTACAGTAAAGTCTCAATAACTCAAATCTTAGACCTCTAAGAGACCAGAAAATTAGCCTGTTAAACAATGTATAAGTATAATCCATAAACGAAAGCTCAACTGCAATTTATAAGTAGTTTGAGTTATTAAGGGTTATTGAGAGTTTATTGTACATGTTTTAATTTCTAACGACATTCACATAGGCTTGACTTTCTTCCCTCCCCCCCCCCCCTCCTTCTTTTATGATTCATTATGATAATGCTTTTATGATTGAATTAGTATAATATATTAGAATATATTATACTAATTCAATATCATATAAAAACATGGGTCTGAAAACTTGAGGAAAGTACTCTAATTTGATGTTAAAGTTTAAAAAATTACACTTTTAACAAAATTTAAACATATTTAAATTTAATGCACATTTTAAGATGTAAATCCACTAGGAATCGGCTAAAATGAATGTACATACATTAACTGATAAATAGGGATTGGCGTAATAAATGTACATACATCGACTGACAAATAGGGATTAGCACAATTAAATGTACATGGTTTGGGTCAGGGTTCGGGTTCGGGTCAGAGATCAATCAGAAATGCATTTTGCATTTTCAAACAGTTTTGCTTTAAACTATCAATAGAAACCAGGCTTTTTTAAAGTTATTATTAAAAAGGAATTTAATCATAACAAAGTATGATAAAGATGGCAAATATTAGCATTTTAAGTTTGTTTTTTTATACTTTAACATCAAATTAGAACACTCTCCTAAAGTTTTTAGGCCTAAGTTTTAATATGATAAGAAATCAGAATAATGTATTCTATCATAATCAATCATAAAAACAGAGGGGGGTTGGGTGAAGTTGACTAGCGGCCACATAGAAACATTTCATATACAACAGATATTTACACATTAAACACATAAACACATACAAATTATAAACCCATATATATATATATATATATATATATATATATATATATATATATATATATATATATATATATATATATATATATATATATATATATATATATATATGTATATGGTTTAAATAATACATATATATATTCTTATAACAGGGCCGATGACACAAGTTTTGAAGAAGAATGGTAAAGATATATATATATATATATATATATATATATATATATATATATATATATATATATATATATATATATATATCCTTATAGTGTAGTCGAAAGAGACTTTTATGGTAAAAAAAAGTCTCTTTCGACTACAATTTTTATTACCTCGTCTCTTAAGCTGTATGTGATTGTCATCAAAATGTTGAAGAAAATAAATTAATGCGGAAGTACATTAAATTTTATTGTTTTTTAAAAAAACTGCAATAATAATGACTAGAAAGTTTTTTTTTAATTAAGGGTGTTTTTGTTTTTGTTTTATTAAAAAACATTTTTAAAACATGCGTAAGTGTTGCTACATCAACTATCTTATAGCCTGCTGCTACAAGGGAGTGTTGCTACATCGACTATCTTATAGCCTGACTCGCAACGGATTGCTGCTACATCAACTGACAAATAGCCTAACTCGCAAGGGGGTGCTGCTACATCGACTGACAAATAGCCTGACTCAAAAGGGAGTGCTGCTACATCGACTGAGGGTTTGGTTTGGGCAGGCAGTTTATCATTTTTTTTAAAAAAAATTTTTTGAAGTTTTTTATAATTTTCTGGTCAGGCTTATTAACGCGCACTTTAAAACAACAATTTATGGGAAAAACTTTGCGACTACCATGCAAGACTATATATATGTATATATATATATATATATATATATATATATATATATATATATATATATATATATATATATATATATATATATATATATCAGTCAACCTATATGAATATCCATTACTAATTATTACTAGTAATAATTATTACATAGGACATATACAGCCAATATTGATAGGTCCATTATCAATGCCTAGATTCAGTGGCAGAAGCATAATTCATTAACTTCAATTGTCAGATTCAAATTGGCGGTAGCAGATTTGTTGTCTTTGTACCAGGTGTCACGAAAATAATTAACAGGTTACCCATTGCTTGCTGACGTTATATCATGTTTTGGTCCAAAAATTATATATATTTTAATTTATATATTATATATATATTATAATTTGGTCCAAAAAAAAAAAATATATATATATATATATATATATATATATATATATATATATATATATATATATCAGTCAACCTATATGAATATCCATTACTAATTATTACTAGTAATAATTATTACATAGGACATATACAGCCAATATTGATAGGTCCATTATCAATGCCTAGATTCAGTGGCAGAAGCATAATTCATTAACTTCAATTTTCAGATTCAAATTGGCGGTAGCAGATTTGTTGTCTTTGTACCAGGTGTCACGAAAATAATTAACAGGTTACCCATTGCTTGCTGACGTTATATCATGTTTTGGTCCAAAAATTGCTATGCCCCATAAAGCGATTTGATCTCATCAAGTTAGACATTGGCCCATTTTCAATAAAAAGCGGGCTCGTCACTAATATGACAAGTGTTCCGCCTTGACATATTCATTTTCTGAGAAGTGTGATACTGCACTATGTCTCAATAAAGACTGCAACGGTTTTAAAGTCTTCCATTGATTAAATTTTTATTTATAATATTGTCTTTATTGAGTGTGTATAACTCTCAAGCTAATATTCCAGAAAAAACTCTCTATTTAACAACAAACATTAGTTTATCATTTCTTCATAAAGTTCCACTGCATCATGTATCATATATGATACAAATACATATTTTTCAATTTGTATACCTTAAAATAGTTTTTTTAACCATGTTTTTTTTTTTAATCTTAGGCCATAGAATACTTCAAGACTCATTAGTTTATTTTAAATATAAAAAAAGTTAAGCAATAAGGGGTTAAAACTAAAAAAGTTAAAATGGGAACTTAAAACATTGTTAAAAGTTTTGGTAAATTTTAAAAGTTTAAAGTAAATGGTTTACATGCGTTTATTATTGTTTAAAGTATTAATTTTATTATAGTTTAAAGTATTACTATAGTTTAAAGTAAATGGTTTATACGCATAGGAAAAATTGCTATAAGGAAAAAAAAAATGTAAAATGCTTCTTAATAAGGCCTGATACAGGTGATTTATGATAGTAGTTTGCATTATGTTTCCTTTTTTTTATTCTATTATCCAGCAATATATCCAAATCTTGTTTACTACCTGTTGCTAAAACTTAAGCAAAGAATAAATATGGTTAACGTTTGTTTTATCTAAAAAACTCTTTAGGCTTCAAACTAAAAAAGTTATTAATGTACTGTTGGAGTGCCTTATAGTCTTATCTTTTGTTGCGCAAGTTTTTGGTTAATGATTGAAACAAATTATATTCTTTTAGCCTTAAGATGTGCAAGAAGGGTGAATAAGAGTTTTAGGCAAAACACTTTCCAGTCAAGCTCCAATAATTTTTGTTGTGTGATTCTTGGAATGTAAGTACAGATGTTGTCATGTAGGAAGTAAATGTTGTTGTGCTTAAGGCTTTTTTTTAAAGAGTTCTGTTTGAAGCTTTTTGAGTTAAGCACAGTAGATCGCTGCTATAATAGTGGCAACTACCTATAGTTATTCACATGTCCCACCAAATCATAAGCAACACTTTTTTCGGGTTTTAGTTGATTTTTAATTTAGTTGGAGTCGGAGTCAGAGTCAGAGTTGTACTTATAAAAATTCAACAACTGGACTCGGAGTCGGAGTCGTTACTTTTTTTTTACGACTGATAATAACTAAAACATTAAGTCCAAAACAAAACTTATTTAATGTATAATAAGATTTTCTTTAAAAGACTTTTGCTGTTACTTAACATATGAAGTTAGTATTTTACAAAATTTTAACTATACACTAACTACTTAGCTATACTTATACACTTCTACATGTTAAAAGTTACAGTGCTAATGCTGTTTTATTTTAGAACTAAATTTAACAAGTTATTTTTTATCAAGGATTTCTCTAGGTTTTTTAAATTCAAGTGATAACTTTCTATAATTACACATTATGGCTCTTATTTGTTCTTGATTATGTAGAGAATCAATTAAACTTTAAAAACAAACAAATTATGTGTTATTTTTGTAATTGTTGTGAAGCATATTTGAAAAGCGCTACAATCGTCTTGCTGTAAAAATTATAAAAAATCAAAAGCCGCTTGGGGTAGTAAAAAGTCATCGGCTTGGGGTAGTAAAAAGTTAAAATACAAAAATTAAAAAAAAAAGTTTAATATATTGGCTTAAATCCATTGATTAATTATTTTTAAAAAATATTTTGATTTTTTATGTCGCTATTATGTTAAGCAGCACAACAAACAAAATACTGTTGCTGTTATGACAACCACGATACAGGCCTTGTTACGAGATTTCGCTGCGTAACGGAAAAGCGTAACGTGAATAAATGTAACTTTACTCGATAAATTTATTTATACATTGTTAAAAGTTAATTTACGTCAGTTGCGTTTTTACTTCATTGTAATTAAATTTAAAATGACATTAAAAACTATTGTTAGTCTTTGAAACGAAATAGCTTTAAATTGAACAATGTTGTTATAAAAAAAAAAAATTCAATGTTGATTAAAAAAAAGTCTTCTTGTATTAAAATCTTATACTTATTTAAACTTAATTTTTTTGCTTTTAAACATTCGTTTTATGGTTGTTTTTTTTTTTTATTGTTTTTTTTAAATAATTTGTTTATGGTTGATTTTCTTAAAGGGATTTAAATGTACTTATAACTAAACGCATAGATTGGGTTTTCCCCTTTTAAAAAACGTTTGTACTAACTGGTTTTGATAAAATAAATGTTGTAAAGAAACGAAATTTACTGCTTTTTCGGCTTTGTTTTTTTTTATTTCCATTAAACTATTTTATTTTTATGTACAGTGAAACCTAATATTTTTTTTCTCAATCCAAAAAAAAAAAATAGTGTTTTCGGTTTTCAGATGTTATAAGCAGAATTTGTTTTTAACAAATATCATTATAATTTTGAAATTTATGTATCTTATATTTATAGCTCAAGTACTAGTTTTGTTTTAAAAATAAAATAAAGATAAGATGGTCTTTTAAAGAGTTTATTTACTGATCGCGTTATTTTTAATAGGTTTGAATTTTGGTTTGTTCAAGGACGTATTAATACGTCCTTAGTTTGTTTTATAAAAAAAAAATTCTTCGGCAAACGGCAAAGGGAAAACCCAAACATTTATAACTCGAACGTTTATAACTAAACATTTATAACTCGAGTTTAAAAGTATTGACGTCATTTATTAACTTGTAGTTATAAAATGAATAATGCGCTTCTGTAAATAATGAATGAAACTGTAAAATAATGGAAAAATAAAAACTGGAAAACAATGCGCTTTTGTTTCAGACCAGTATTTGGAACTTACCTGAAACTTAACTAAAATTAAAATAAAGTTATATGTAATACGAACATTTTAAAGTAACTTTAATTAAATTTATTAAATCTTTTTTTACTTTGGTAATTTTATCATAAAAAAAACGGAGCATTTTAAAATTAAAAAATTTTAAAATGCTTTGTTTTAAAATCAAATGAAAGAATTTTAATTAAATTTAATAAATTTATTTACTAAAAACTATAATTATTAAAAAAATATTTAAATTTAATAAAATAAATTAAAAATATTTTTTTTAAAATTTGATTGTTTATAATTATAAAATCTAATATTTAAAATTAAATATGATGAAAAGTTTAAACTTAAAACATTTTATTTTCTTTAAGTAATTTTTAAAAACAAAAAAAAAATTATTAAACAAATTGTTTCTTTAACAAAAAAATCTATTAGTTTACAATTGCGGTTAAATGCTTTTACTTACGACTTTAATACTTCTGAATGAACGTCACATAAACGATATAAAAAGATAATTTAAATATTCTAAAAGAATTTTTGCGTAACGCATAACTGCGTAATAATTTGCGTAGGCAAATCGCCTTTTCGCAGGCAAAATGCGAGCTGCGTAACGCTTCTTAACAAGGCCTGATAGTATTAATATTTTTATGGTTCCAGCAATATGGGAGGAGGGTAGAGGCGGGAGAGGGCATGCCCCCTTTTCTCCAGTTTTTTAACAATAATTTTTGAAAAATTATTATGTATTAAAAAAAAATGTATTGATAAGTTAAAATAAAAATGTTTATAAAACCACAAATTTTAGTCTCTGCAGATTGTTATGTGTTCCAGGAGCCATGGCTTTTATAACAACCACAGTAATGGTGGTGTGCTGTTAAAAAAATCTTTATAAACACACTGGAACTTGATTTACAATATTTTTTAAAAGAGGTTGAATGATAACCTGAATTGTTATTTTAGGTTCAATACTTCACATTCCTAAAAACTTATCAATTTTTAATTTAATTTATGATATATTTGTTAGGTGAAATTTTAAAAAATAATGAATTATTTTCATTAAAAGTTTATACTTCATTTTTTCGTTAAAAGAATTGTTTCAAGTTTTGTTAAAGAGTTTTTTAGAAAATCTTCATAATTTTTCTTTTTATAACACTATTGATTTTTTAGGAGTAAAAGCTTGCGCTTATCAGTTCAGTATAAACCATCACCATCACCATCAAGATCTATTGCATCAGATAATCAAAATACTTTTGTATCAGAGAATTCTCAAAAACCTGTAACATCAGAAAATCATTTATCAGTCCCAAGTTTTGAAATCAATCAACCAAAAATACCATTGGAAGAAACTGCTAGTGTAAATATGAATAGTTCAATGGAATCATTAGTTTCTTCAGCTCAAATGAATGATTTCAAAACTGAAGAATTTCCTGACACCGAGTCTGTCTGTAGTAGTCAAGATGAGGATGTTTCTTTTGACAATAGTAAAATTGATGTGCTCTCAACTAATCACAATGATTGTGCTACTCAAGATAAAGTAATTGAAGGTAGCAAATCAGAAACTCAATTAAAGCCTAAAAACAGTGAGGAGATTGTATTAGTCAATTCTTCAAAATTCATTGATTCTTTTTGTAGTCCTTTATTTGTTTTGATATTAACTGCCATCATAATGATTCCTCTTGCAGTTGTCTTAAATAAAATTCTAAATTGACAGATATTAGCGAAATACTTTTGTAAAAAATTTTAGATAACTGAATTGCAATTTTTTAATATTATATTGGAGTTTTTATTCCTTATAGTTTTTCTGTATTCATTAATTATTTTTGTGATTTTTATTGTTAAAATTTTCATATTTTTCTTTTTACTTTAACTTTTTGTTGATTTTTTTCCAAGTTTACATTTACTGTTGATGTTGTTGTTTTTTTAAAGAAAGTCAGGGCTAGGTTTACGCAAACAAAGGTGTAGGTATAGATATAGTCATGAATTCGTTTTTTTTTTAAATTTTGTACAGTTTTATTTGAAAATTTTTTTACGAATCAAAAATTATTTTTTTGATTTTTTTCTTATTAAGCTTAATTTGTCTTTAAAAAGTTTAAAACTTGTTTACGTTTAAAAAACTTTTTTTTTTGTTATGTTTTGTGAAAGTGAAGGTTTTAAAAGTTAATTAAAAGCCATAATATATTAAGTAAAAAAAATAAATTATCAATAATGAGTAAACAAAAGCGTAAATCAAGTCCTCAAAAAATTAACAGTTGTAGTCATAAAATAATTAAATAGTTAAATGGCTGTGATCATAAAATAAATATATAAAATAATTTTGGGTTATAAAAATTGTTTTTTAAGTGGTCTTACTTAATTCTTATATATATTAGAAATATATCTTAGAAATATTCTATTATTTCTTTCTGATATAACAATTGTATTTCTAGAATATTTAACTTTTTATTAGTAAATATATTATTGAATATTATTAAAAGAAGTACTAATATATTACTTATATATAAAAGATTTTAACCAACTTTTATAACAAAAACAAATTATTTTGTTATTAATTTAATATTAAATTATAAAGAGTTTTTAGAAGATGCATCCATGGTTCAAAGAATTAGTGTCACACATCTTATCTAAAACTGAAATACAAAAAAATGTTTATCAAGATACTTTGATGCTATTACAATTAATTTGTGATAAATACAGTATTCCTTCAATAAATATAGCATGTGAAAAACTTTCCAAACACCTATTTATAGACATTAACACAATAAAACAATCGAAATGTCAGTTAAATAGTTTATTTAGTATGAACTCTGAACATGGCAATAAAAGGAGTGAACAAAATTTCATACTTGTTTGCAAAATTTTTGCTGATCAATCAAGCAATAGTGGAAATATTGTTGTTCAAGATATAACTGGAAAAATTAGTTGTGTTTATCCTAAAGCTACTTTTTCAAAATTAAATTCACTTGGAATAGTGTTAGATTGGAGTTACTTAATTGACCATAAGCAATCGTTATATGATATCAAACTTTTAAATTCTAAGGTATCATGTTATATTGAACTAAAGTCTGTATTTATATTAAATAGACCCATTATTATAAAGGAACCAAGGCAGAACTTTTCTTTGGATGGAATTCTTATAAGAAAAAGTTGCTTGAGTAAAATTAACGGTGGTACACCATTTTTTTTAGTTCTCTTAACTTCCATTAGTGACTCACAAACCTTTTTTGTTGTTGTTCAAGGTAAGAAGTATGCTCATTGGTACTGGTGTTTAAAAATTAATAGAGTTTATAATTTTAATGGACTTCAAGCTGGAATCGTAAATATAGAGCAGAAGAGACATAAAGTTTTTTTTACAAATGATTCAACCTTTTGCTCACCAACAAATGAAATCAATTATGGTGAAAAATATTTTTGTAAATATTCTTTTGGTATTAGTTATCAAGTATGTTGTTTTATCTTTTTTTTTTTCTTTTTTATTATTACTGGAATTTATGAATGTATTGTTTCTTTTTCATATAAATATGAGGCACCTAGCAGCAAAAGGTACCAAGTTAATAAATGGAAAAAAAAATCTACAAAATAAAAAAAAAGTTATATTATTGTTGTAAGTTAACAACACTATATTTTTTAATGGAAATATTTTTTGTTAAAAACCTCATACTATTTACTGTGCTTTGACAAAAAAATTAATTATTTTGTATGTTAGTGGAAATATATTTTTTTTAACAACCTCATGTTTACTCTGCTTTGACAAATAAGTTAATATTAATATTGACAAATAGCTATTATTAGTTCTGACAAAATAAATTATTAATGTTCTTTAAAAAAAAAAGTTTGTTTGAAAAATTGAAGTAGAAGATTATTTTCTATTTTCCGCAATGATGTTCATTAAACCTTAAGTCCTTTTGAATTTTTGGTTTAATAAAATTTTTGTTTTGTATATTAGCTAAATTTAGTGCTTAATTTATAGACGATCTCTAAAATCATGCACGCTTTATTGAAATTTTTTTAGAAACCAAAGTATAAAGATTGAAAAAAAACAATAACTTTGAAAATAGGAAATCTAAAAATTGCAAATAAAAAGACTTTTTATTCAGTAATAAGACTTGGTATCTTTTCTGTAGTTTTATTAAAACACCTTTTACAGTGAAGAACCCAGACATGTTTTAGTACCGTTTTACCGGTATGGGCGCCCAAAAAAAAGTGCCCAAAAATTATTTTTAATTTTTCTTTTGATTTTTTATGAGAAATAGAAAAAAAAAATTTAGTTTTAAATGCAGTAGTAAGAGTAAATAATTCTCAGTTTAATTTAGCTACCTCATTTTTTCTTCAAGAAAATAAAAAGAATTTAAGGCAAATTACATAACTACATGACGTAATTTGCCTTTTAAAAATGAAAGTTGTTACAAAACTTAATTTTAAAACCACGTTGCAAAATTTTATAACAATGGAATGTATATAAGATTTGGTTTTTTTGAAAGTTATAGCGTTTTTAAATATTCATTAGCGTAAGGTTAATTTTTGTTCTTTTGCTCTTTTAGTTTACGTGAGGAAAACGAAAAATTGAAGTATAAACTTTTTCAGAGTTTTTTTTCCTTTCAATATTCTTTTTAAAATAATAAAAAAAAAGGTTTCAATAACTTAATAAAAGTTTTATTTAGATCTGTAATTTATTTATTCAAATGTAAATTTTTAAATTATTCTTAACTAAAAAAATATATTTTTTAAAATATATGTTTTTAAAAATATATGGTTTTTAATCATAATAATAGAATATTATTTAAATTATGTTTACTGTAATTAAATCTTTAATTATCTTCTTTTTTTTTTTAATTTAAAAGGCGCCTTAAAATCACTTTAAAAAGTATAAGCTTTAGTAAAAGTTAAATGAATAGATTTACTAATATTTAAATCAAAATTTTAAATTTAGAATAATAGAAAATAAGTTTATTAAATGCTTATGTTTTTATTCGAATAGTTTATTAAATACTTTTATTAAATGCTTATCGAATTTGTTTATTAAATGCTTATGTTTTTAATTCAAATACAAGACGTAAAACTATTTTGTTAATTTTACAAATATTACGTGATATAATATATGTAAATATATTATGTAATGCAAATATTGATTATAAAATTTTTAGAATTTTTTTAATTATTATTTTAGATTAAATTTACTAAAATATAGTTAATAACTGTTTAAAATAATTTAAACAATTTTCAATAATTATTTACTGATAGCGTGGTATATGCAACCAAAGCGTTTACTAAATCCTTAAGTAAAATAGTTTTCTTTTAACTAAAGTAACACCAGTAAATTCATGTATTCAAAAAAACATCGTCCACCAGTAAATTCGTGTATTCAAAAAATGCCTTTAAATCATCACCTTATTATAGGATAAAACTGAACAAAATAAACATAAATGATTATTAAGAAAATGATGATTAAAAATTATTGTTGTGGCACCTGTTTAACTAGGGGGGAATGAGAGGGAGGGGAAAATCAAAAACATAATTCCCTTCCCTCCCTCCCCTCATTGTTGCTGAAAAAAAACAATATCCCAAATAAACTCTAGGTTCTTCACTGTTTTATTACATATAAACTTGAAAACAAAAAAAAACTTGTAATCTTTATTTATAAGGTAATTGTTTAAAAATATTTTTTTTTTTTTGAATTTTGTTCGGTCACTTCCTTTACTGCTCATTATCTACTAAACTAGTTTTCAAAGAGTTGATACCTTTTCTTATTGGGAATGATTTTTTTTTTCATTTCAAACAACTAGTGTTTAAAATTTCTCGATGTTTTTTATTTATCAAGAAATGAGAAATTGAGAATGAGCTTCTTGAGAATTCTCAAGAAATTCTGAGAAATGTCAAAATCAAATTTTTTTTTAAATTTTAATATAATTTATGTTCATAAAATGTATAAGAACAAACATTGGATTAAAAAATCAACAGAGTAGCAAATATAAAAGTCATTTTAATAATATAAGAAAAAAATTGTATAAAAATATAACGAATAATAGATATAAAATATACAAGTATAACAAGTTTTTAATTGTTATTTATCAGTTAATTTATAAAAGAAAAAAATACTAATACGAAAATGTGAAACAAAAACAGCAAATAGACAAATTATAATCACATAAGTAATAATTTTTATTTATTGTTTTTGAAGTAATATTTTAAAAAGTTTAAAATATTTTAAAAAATCTATTTCTTTTTTTTGTAACAAAATCATTAGGAGTTGAGAAATATATTCCTTTTGCGTTGAAGTTGGTTTTATTGTAAATAATGCATCTTTTAGATTTTCCAAATTTTGTGACCTTATTCCAGTTGTTTGGAATATGCTGCATTCTTTTTTAAGTGTCTGATAAAGATTCTGGTTATCATTATCGCATCATTGATTTGGTATAATTTCTTTTGTTGTATTTCTTATAGCTAAATTTAGTTGTTCTTTAAGTGATAGCTCAGTGTTGACATTGCTGCTAGTGGACGTTTCTTTAGTTAGATCTTTTTCGGAATCAGATTACCCATACATTCTATTGAATATTTCTCTAAAGGTTTTATAAATATCATTTTTTGAGCAAGATTTAAAAAAAGAAGAAGCATATTTTTCATCAATTGTTGGGTTATGTAAAAATTTGTATAAAGATACAACATTATCATTTCTCCTTTTACTTATTTCTTCTTTAATATTGTTTAAGAATTCTCTACTTATTTGGTTCATTCTAGATTCTTCCTCTAATTTATTAAATAAAAATTTTAAGGCTCCTTTGGCTGTAATAATGTTGCATCTGCTCGCCTTAAAGCTTCTACAGTTATTTGTGTCAGTTCTAATACAACTAATAGAATTTCAGTCATTAGTATGTAATATCTTTCCACAAATGGTTCAAATATAATTCACTTATTGCCATTTGCACAATATTTCAATAGTATTCCGTTTTACAGCCAATTGTTTTTGTTCTTGCTCTTTTACATATTTTTGTAAGAACACCATTTTTCACTGGAGAATTTTTAAAGAGTTTTACAATTTTTCGTATTCCTACAATTGCATCTTTAATTAGAGATTTAAGTTGAAAGTTTTTGCTACGTAACATGTCAATTTCCAAATCAAAGTCATCTTCTGTACTTCCAATGCTAGCATCATCGTCATTATCTACAGTCTCCTGCTCAATTACGGATTTATTTATTTCATTTTTCGGTTCAGCGTAAAATGTTTTCAAAACTGCTAGATGTATGCCATGATTGTAACATAATTGCTGAAAGACAGGCAATAATTTACCAAATTTCTTCATAACCGCAGCACCATCGCTCATAACAGCCACAATATTTTCTTGTAAAGATAGACCAAACTCTTCTAATTTTTGCAACAGAATTTTCAAAATTATTTTTGATGTACAACTACATTCGATAAAAATCAAACCAAAGTTAAATGAATTATTTTCTTTATTTCTATATAAATGAACATTCATGAATCTACAATTTTTAACGCTTGTCCATTCGTTAATAGATACGCTGAACTTTCTTTCTTCACCCTTTAGTTTCTTTATATCTCTACTATCTCTTCTTTCTTGTTATGGTAAAATTCCACCATTAATTGTCTCACCTCAGAGGGGTTTTGAGGTAATCTGAATCCCCTGGCGGTCATGCCATATAAATTTGCCATATAAATTCACTTTTAGTAATTTTATTGAACGATATACCATCCTCAGCAGCCAATTTAGAAATCAATTCAGCTAGGGTTGGTCATTTTACAATTTTTAAAAGTTTGATTAGTTAAATTTTCTACTTTTTTTTGTTTATTTTGATGAGACGTAGAACTTTCTAATACACGAGTGTATTTGTGGACATTTTCAAGATGTCTCTGTAGACCAATCGTTGCTGAACCTTTGCATAATAATTTTCTTATACATAAATTGTGATGTGTCTCATCGTTGTTTATTTTAAAATATGACTTAACATCTTAGTAAGTCTTGCTTAGTAAGTTACTTCTTAGTAAGTCTTGCTTAGTAAGTTACTTCTTAGTAAGTCTTGCTTAGTAAGTTACTTCTTAGTAAGTCTTGCTTAGTAAGTTATTTCTTAGTAAGTCTTGCTTAGTAAGTTGTCTTGCTTGTTGTTGTTGCTCATTTTTTCTATAAAATAAATTAATAAAAAAAAAATTACAGATAACTTTTTGTAAGATCGTTTGAAAGAATCAGACAAATCATAAATTTTCTTTAAAAATTTAATTCTTATATAAAATATAAAATATTGCAATAAATTATTACTTGAAAACTCTTGCTATCATTTTCAAGCTATCATTTATTTTTATATTAGTGTTTAATGTAAAAATAAATTAATAGCTTGAAAATTGATAGCTATCATAGCAAGCTATCATAGTATTACTATTTAATGTAAAAATAAAACCAGAAATCAATAATAAAAACAATCAACTTTTATCTAAATCTTTCATAGATTTGATTGATTCGAATAACACACAATTTAAACTTACCTATTTCTTTCACATCATACGAGTATATTAAAAAATAGTAAAAAATTTATCTTTGGTTATTATCTTAATGGTAAATTTTGACAGTTGCCGATGGTGTATAAACGGTATAAACGTCTGACGCAAAAGACATGCAAAGTGGCGCGTGCAATTTGCGCTTGCGCAGCATTTGGTTTACGCACATGCAAAGAACATAGAACTATAATTTAAATTAAATTAATCATTAAAGCAAATAAAAAATTTTATTTTTTTCTCAAGAATTTTTATTCAATTTCTCGAGAATTGAAAAAATAAAAATAATGACTTTTTCTCGAGAAATTCTTGAGAAAGTATTTATTTAAATTAAACAGTTTTAAGAAATAGTTTTTGTTTTATCTTTTCTATTTTGTGTCATCTTTTGTTTGTGATTGTGAAATTAATTTATTTCTTAAAACATAAGTTACATGTATGTAAAAAAAACATGCAAAGTTTCTACAGTTCTATCAAAAGTAAATTTTTATAATTTTTGTTTTATAATATAATTTTTTTAAATACTTTAGTTTTTAATGTGTACCATAATTTACACTAATTAATTTGAAATTTAGTTTTTCATACTTTCAATATTTACTTTACGCTACTTACTTTTACACTAATTAATTTGGTCATACTTTATATTTTCAATATTTATTTTCAAGATGATTTATAAGATTTAATTTAATTATTAAAAAGTTTTTAATAATGTTTTTAATAATTTAGTTATTAAATACTTTTAATAATGTTAATAACTACCACCTTTTACAATAATTAATTTGTAATTTGGTTTTTCATACTTTATGTTTTCAAGATTTTCAAAGCAAACCTTTGAATCATCATTTCAGAATAGCAGTTTGAAGTTCTTGTATTGTATACTGTTGAGAATTTCCAGTTCATGCTTATATTCCTTATAAATTTTCATTTCACTCTTATATATATACCGATTTTAAAAACATTCTAGAAAATTTAGTTTTAATTTTCTCAGAAATGCATTAAATTTTCATAAATGCATTTGTTTACAATAATTCTAATAAAGGTAATTTTGTGGCCAATTTTACGAAAATTTCAGAGAAAATTTCAAATTATCTGGTTTGTTAAGTGGCAGACATATTGTGCTCGTAGGTATGCCATCTATTTTCATTATTCCTCCTAAAATTAGATCAAAATTAAATATTTACTGTTAATATGGTAACAATATATAAATATTGTTTAGTTATACCTGATATAAAATTTTCTCAGATCACCATACGTATTGACTTAAAATATTTTATTTTGACTTATTTAAATAAGTTTTAAAAAGTCTTAATTTTCCAACAAAAAAATGTTAAAGATGTAACCATTTTTAACCTAAGACCACTTGATAAATCTGTACTATATCTAAGACAAATCTATAAGTCAAATTTTATACTTAAGACCAATCTTTAAGTATACTTAAGACCAATCTGTAAGTATACATATGACAAATCTTTAAGTCAAGGTCTATACTTTTATTAATTCAGGTGTCAGTAATTCAATAATTCATGCTATTAAAGTACTACTTTGTTAAACAATAATTTTTTTGATTTAAAAATCAAATAACATATTAATGAGGTTTTTTGTAAAAAATGGTTTATTTATAGTGGTTTAAATAAAGCAGCTTGGATTTTATTTTCTGTTGACATTAAAATTCTGGCTGCTCATCTGAAGTAATATCCAAATAAAGCTCTTCAAAATATCAACATATCAAGCTCAAGTTTCAAGGTCAACTTTAGCTGTTAAGAAATAAATTATGAATTTTATATTTAAAAAGTTACCTCTTAACCATACAATACCATGGCTTTGTTACTTTAAGACTTTTACTTTGTAACCATACAATAACAAAGATATGCCACTTTAAGACTTTTACTTTGTAATAATAAAGTATATTTGGTAGTTACATTAGTAAATAGTTTGTAATGTAATGTAATTTTCTTTTTTAAATATTTTATTAAATTCTTGGTACTTATTATAAGCACTGTTTACACTAAACATTTTAGGGTGTTATCACTAGCACTGTTTATGCTAAATTTTTAGGCTGTTATTACGAGCACTGTTTATGCTAAAATTTTAGGGTGTTATCACTAGCACTGTTTATGCTAAATTTTTAGGCTGTTATTACGAGCACTGTTTATGCTAAATTTTTAAGGTGTTATTACTAGCACTGTTTATGCTAAATTTTTAGGGTGTTATTACGAGCACTGTTTATGCTAAATTTTTAGGGTGTTATCACTAGCACTGCTTATGCTGAGTTTGGTATCTTAGAACTTGATGAAGAAATTAAGTATATTTATTTTTCTGAGTTTACTAAAAAGAAATTTAAAACATAAAGTAGTTTTTTTAGAAATTTTTAAATATTTAATGAAAATTCTTAGGCTAACATCTAAACTGTATTGTTTGCATAAATCTACCAACTAATAAAGCAACACAACACCTGGCTGTGTTGTTACTTTAAAAATTGTTTATGTAAAATAAAGGTAAAATAGCAATTTTTTTTTTTTTAGGTTAATTTTTTGTCAAGCAACATTTTCACAATTTGGAAGAGGTTTTCGTCAGGGTGCAGAAATTTTAATCCATAATGCACATTTGGTTTTTTATGTTAGTTTTTTTAAGTATTCTTATATTAATAAATTAAGATCATTTTTTTTATTAAGCTAAAATCTTGGTGAGTTTTTTAAAATCTTGTTGAATTAATTTATCAAAAAGATTTCAAACACATATAAATAGATATCTATTAATCATGTCTATTAATTTTATCCATCACCTATATCAGCTTTCTCTTTCTGTTCTATTTATCTGTTTTTTTATATCAGTTTTGTATGTTAGTTCACCCACAATAATTTTTATTAATTTACAAGTTATTTCCTCAATCAGTTTTTTTAAATGAAGTTTTAAATAATTATGTTTAACAAAAAACGATATCATATACAATTGATATTGTTTTTTGTAAGACATAGTTATTTATATTACTAAAACATTTTTAATATTATTTACCACTATATGGTAAATAATTTTATTAATATATTTTTACTTTGCAATATGAATTTGTGTTTTGATAGCAATATATTTTTATTTGTCTTTTATTTATGTTTACAAATGTGCTTACATAACTTTGTGGATTTAGGCTGGCATGGAATCTTTTATTCCCTCTCGACAATTTCAGGCCAAGTCTCACTCTTCTCCATGGTTTTCCTCACATTGTGATGCTGCGATTGCCAATTGAAACCGTTACTTCCATATCTATCAGCAAAACAGTTATCCAGAAAACAGATATCTGTTTATTACTGCTAGAAACCATTGTAAAAGAGCTTTGTCTAATGCCAAAGCCCGCTATTCTCAGGTCATGAAATCTCGTATTTCATCACAAAAATTAGGCTCTTGTGACTTCTGGAGAATCTTTAATAGTATCAATAATAAGGGCAAATCTGTTATTCCACCTCTCTTGTATGGTTCAAACTTTGTCACCTCACCTAAAGACAAAGCTGAATTGTTGGCTATAAACTTTTCATCAATATTATCTCTTGATTCCACTAGTTACGTTCTACCTGATGTTGCCGTCAAGCAGGTTGATCCATTGCTTGACATTCGTATCACTCTAGCTTCTGTTTCTAAAGTGATTTCCTGATTAGACTCTTCTACAGCTTGTGGCCCGGACAACATAGCTGTTATAGTCTTGCAGCCCTATTTTCAAAAATTCTGGAGAGTGATCTGATTGGTCTAACTACTGTCCCATTAGTCTTCTTCCTATCATAAACAAGGTTTTTGAATCTTTAATTAACAAACACTTAATCTCTCATCTTGAATCTAATAATTTACTTTCTAATCATCAATATGGATTTCGATCTTCTCGTTCTACAGCTGATTTGCTAACATTAATAACCGATAGGTTTTATAGAGAGGTAGTGAGGTTTAGGTCATCGCTCTTGACATTTCTAAAGCTTCTGATAAAGTTTTGCATGCTAGTCTTCTCCATAAGCTTTCTTACGGTGTATCTGGTAACATCTTTAAGATTATTGAATCCTTTCTTTCCAATTGTAGTATAAAAGTTGTCCTTGATGGACAGCACTCTTCTTTTTCTGTAACCTCAGGGGTTCTTCAAGGTTCAATCCTTGGCTCTATACTCTTTAATTTACATTAATAACCTTCCAGATATTCTCATATCTAAGGTGGCATTGTTTGCTAATGATACTACCATTTATTCTTGTCATAATAAGAACCCAACACTCTCTGATTGCTTAGAGGGGGGATTTGAGCTTGAAAAGGATTTTCAAGAAAAATCCGTTGCAAAATCTCAAATCCGTCTTTGTATGGAATACTTTTGCCATATCTGGGGCAGATCTTCTATTGATGCCCTTTCTCATTTAGACATAGAGCAAAAACGCATTGTAAACATAGTTGGACCTGTTCTTGCAGCCAACCTGCAACCATTATCACATTGTTGCAATGTTGCTTCTTTTTTTCTTTTCTACAATTACTATAATATGCACTACTCTCAAGAGCTAGCATCTTTTGTTTCATCTACTAAAGTTCATTCTCATGTTACTCGTCATTCAATTAAGCCTCATCCTTTTTCTGTGACTGTTCCTAAGTGCTCCAAAAACTCTTATTCCTTTAGTTTTTTTCCTCGACCATCAGTTCTTAGGAATTCACTTCCTTCATCTTGCTTTCCTGATTCATATAATTTGCAATCTTTTAAGTTGTCTGTCAATCGTTATCTTGCTCTACAATATTCATCTTTTCTCTTCCAGTAATTTCCAACTCTAATTCGTGGTTGCCTGCAGCCTTGTTGGAAGCAAAGATGTATAAAAAAAACTTGTTTTTTGATGATGTTTAAATGCCATTATGTATTATTTCATTTTTATGAAATTTTGATGAAATGAAATGTGGAATTTTAATGGCCTAATTAGAATATCATTGTTATCATTTTACAACTGATTTTACATGTATTTTAATTTGTTACTTTACTATAACATTTTAAAAGAAATAATAGTTTATTGTTATAACATTTTTAAGGGATCAAAGAAACTGCTGTGCTGCTGTTCTTCAAGTGAAATTCAAATTGTCAAATTATCTGCTTATCAATCTTCATACAATGTGTGTTTTATTATTTTATTGTTTTTCGATCTTCATACAATGTGTGTTTCATTATTTTATTGCTTTTAACTTTAGCTAAGATTCTTAATTTGACTTATTAAATTTATATTTAGGTTGTGTTTCCTCAATTACATCCAATAGCTTCACAGTTGCAGATGTATTCTGTAGAATATTTAGTTGCTATGGTAAAGTTTCTTCAAAAACTATTTTCAACAACTCATCCAACATTAACTTCAATGTAATTATTAGATAATCTTTTTTTTTTTTTTTTTTTTTTTATTATAATAAAAGTTCTTTTTGAGGGTTGATTTTATTTGTTGAAATTATTTGTTAGATTTTGAATATTAACAGGTTAGTAACAAAGAACTTTAAAATATTAACAGGTTGATAACAAAGAACTTAAAAATATTAACAGATTAGTAACAAAGAACTTTATAATATTAACAGGTTAATAACAAAGAACTTTAAAATAATAATAAGTTAGTAACAAAGAACTTTAAAATAATATTCAATTTTATTTTTTTTTAGATTCAAAAAGAACCCAGACAGGTTGTTATCAATGCTAAAATGGACTTTTACTCCTGAAAAAACCTTATACAGGCCTTCATTGTTTTTTGAATTTTTTAATGAACCTCATTCTTGCATTTATACTAACAGAAGTATTAATAAAATCAAGTCAAAGTTAAAATCATTAAAGGAGTTTAAAAATCATGTTGTAATGCTATCGCAATCAGGCAATTGGCTAAATGGAAGTATTTCTAATGTTTTTTCAAATTGTTCTGATGGATGGAGTTATGTAAAAATGAGTTCTGCTATGCTTTCCTTGGTAAAGTTTAAAAAAAAAATTAAAAAGATTTTTAATACTCACCATTTTGGAATTAAGATTTATGTAACAGTTGATAATTTAGATTGTATGTGGAATTTTATCTGATAGTAAAATAGTGGATTCTACATGTGAAGTTTATTTCATGTGGTGAGGAATTATAAAGCATTTTTATTACATTTGGGTGTTTGGAATATAGATGAAAGTGTTTTTTTTTACTTATTTCAGTGAAGGGCAAGATATATCACACTTAAATGGTTGTGGAGTTACTATTAAAAAATATGATGTAGTTATTGAGAAGTATTACTATACTGAGCTTCAAGTAATTTCTGGGTATCATCTTAAGAAAGAATATACTCGTCTGTATGTTGTTGTATCTTCTTTAGATGACATATTTTTTATTAACGATATCGTCAGTATGCATCCACAAAAAAAGTTGAAGTTGGAGAAAGAAAAGTATGTGGTTTTTTTGTGTTATTTATTTTTAAAAGTACTTTAATTATAAAACTTTACTAGTTTTATTTAAAATCATTTTAATATTTCCAATAAAAAATGTGTAACCCTTAAGCATAAGTTGACTTGTGATATCATAAGTTGACTTGTGATGTCGTTATATTCTTTTTATTTGCTATTCTTTTTTATAAACATTAACTTGTTTAAACTTCCACAATTTACTAAATGATTGCAAAAAAAAAATCTTAATCTCTAACTAAAATTGCTATTGTTTTAAATGTGCAATGGTTAAGGTCTGATGTATAGAAATCATTTATAAAGTAGAAATGGTGTATTCATGGTGTATAGAAATGATGTATTCATGGTGTATAGAAATGGTGTATTCATGGTGTATAGAAATGGTGTATTCATGGTGTATAGAAATGGTGTATTCATGGTGCACAGAAATGGTGTATTCATGGTGTATAGAAATGGTGTATTCATGGTGTATAGAAATGGTGTATTCATGGTGTATAGAAATGGTGTATTCATGGTGTATAGAAATGGTGTATTCATGGTGTATAGAAATGGTGTATTCATGGTGTATAGAAATGGTGTAAATTTCATGGTCATAAAATGTGCTCTTATTCTTTACTTTTTGCTGCTATAAAAAGAAACAATGATTAAAAAACTTAAACAATTTGTGAATATGTATTCAGCAATTTTTTAATTGTTTGTTTTTTAGGTGGGTTTTTGGCACAATTGTTAGGCGATTTTATAAACGTCAAAAAGGCATTATGTTTGATACAGAACTTCATACTGAAAATATCATTTATGTTCCTCCCCTTGGACGAGTAGAAGAAGTATTTTTAGCTGAATCTCTTCAAAGTCTATATCCATATTGTCGATCTATTTTTAAGCTAGAGTTATATGTTAATGAAACAAAAAAGATTATTCCCATATATTTCAATTCAAACAAACTTGTTTATCCTCTTGGAATGCTCCCTGGTGCTGCAGTTCAATTATTGTATCTCCAAACTAAAAAATCTGATCATTCAACATATTATAAGTTTGACCAAATGTCTCATTTCAAGATGATAAAACTTCCTTCTTTAGATGTTAACAAACTTATAGAAAGTCTTAATATAGCTCAGAATGAAAGAATAAATCTTATATCACTGGTTCTAAATAAAATCAATAGCAATGATATTTTGTTTACTGTAATAGCGCGAGTGACTTTTATTCAATGGATTGGAATAAAATGGAAATGTGGACAATGTAAAAATATTTTGGTTGATGGTGCCTGTACTAATAGGTGTAAAAGAGAACAGACTTTTGACTTTCAATTAAGGTAACTTATTTTTTGCAAAGGTAAAGAATTTTTTTAAAAAGCATACTCTGTCTACCCTGCAGACATTTGTTTTTCAAAGTTACGTTCTAAATGTCTTTTAAACACTCTTTACAGAAGAATGTTTAAAAGAAAATGTTTAAAAGACATTAAAAACGTTTAATAGACATTTAAAATGCATTTAGAACGTAACTTTTAGAAACAAAAGCTGTTATTAAAGTCCTTTATACCTAGCAAAGTAAATGTTCAATCCCAAAACTTCAGTCAATTATATGTATAACCAATCCCAAAATTTCAGTCAATTGTATGTATGTCCAATCCCATAACTTTAATCAATTATATGTACTAAATCTCTCACTTTAGCATATTTTATTTAAGTGAATAATGTGTTCACAAATCACTATAATCCACACCTCTGCTTAATGCAGACTCTCAATTCGGCAATAATGTTGTGAAAGCGTTTTTCTCAACAAATATGGTAGCAGACTGAAGTCGCTATTAAAAATCCAAAACACAACTGTGTTACCATTCAAATTCAGCAAAATAGTTTTAAGTACATACTTTTTTATTTATTGAAAATTAAGTGAAAAGTGTTATCAAAAGAATCTTGTGCGTACAATTTGGTTGACAGATTTCAAAACCATCATGTTGCGCTCATTAATTTTTTCAGTCAAATCAGTTGGTTACAAATTACTTTTTTTTTCATTTTAAAAATAGAGTTATGGAAAGCTCAAAACCCACAAGTGTGGAAATCTAGTTATTATTTTATTAATCATTAATTGTCCATTTTTAGATATAAAATTTTAGATTTATTTTAGGTATAAAAGTTAAATTTTAGATATAAAAAAGTTATTCGCTAGATATAAATTAAAATCAAACTAGATGCAGACCAAAAGCGCTACTAATTTAAAAGTAGTGCAGGAGAGTAGCGGTTTTTGGTTGCCAATAAATCAGAGATTGTAACGCTTTTTAATATTTGGTAGCAATGCCCAGTTCTGTAAAAAATTACATTACCATCATACTTCATGAATGAAAAACAATCAGAAGTTGAATTTTCTATAATATTTTTAAAGTTAGCTTTAGTTATATATAAAAATTAAAATTTATAAAAATTTATATTATATTTTTATAAAAATCATAAATTTATAAACTTTTTTCTTTTGTGATTTTCTTAAAGATGAACTAGTTTTTACAAGTTGTGATTAACCTTCAGTCTAGTTTGTGCATTATTCTTTCATAGGGCAATAGTTGATGATGGAACAGCTGAATGTTATTTACATTTTGATGAGCATGAAGCAAAGGTTTTGTTAAACATTTCCAATGAAGATTATGATATTTTAAAATATAAAACTTATTGCTATGGCATTTTGGAATACAATCGTTATAATAAAGTAATATTTTTAAATATTTTTTTATTTTAAAACGATTTTGACATTTTTTTATCTAGTTTATTTTATATGAAGGAAAGTTTTTTAGTTTTTTTACACTATAAGTTATTCATTACAAAACTTAAAAAACTTAAATGGAGTTATCAACAAAATTATATTCACAATTTTTTTTATGGCTAGGAAAGGAATAGATAAAATGTTAAGATAATGAAATGATAATAACCTTAGTTCTTTTTTTTTGGGTGCCCGTACCGCTCCAGCGGTATGGGCACCCCAAAAAAACAGGTCTTGGTTCGTCCCTAATATATATATATATATATATATATATATATATATATATATATATATATATATATATATATGCATTTATGTATGTATATACATTTATGTATGTATATACATTTATGTATGTATATACATTTATGTATGTATATACATTTATGTATGTATATACATTTATGTATGTGTATACATTTATGTATGTATATACATTTATGTATGTATATACATTTGTGTATGTATATACATTTATGTATGTATATACATTTATGTATGTATATACATTTATGTATGTATATACATTTATGTATATACAGAATCTGTGTGGTGAAACCGATGAATGTCAGCGTATTTTGCAAAGAGTTACTCGACATACTGAGCCCTATCATCTTCATGAGTTTCTTTGTAAACAATATAAGAAAGGAAATCAAAGTAAGTAACTTTTTAAAATAAATTAAAAACTTTTCTATCTCAATGTTATGCCTTTTAATTTTTTATCTCTTTTCTTAATTTTTCATCTTTTATGTTTATATAATGATATTATCGTAACATAGCAAGCTTAACTATATTTAAAAACTTATATCGTAACATTTCATTATTTTTACTATTTTTTCACTATTTTTATAACAACTATCTTTTAATTGGGTTTGTACAAATATTTTTTGCTAATGCATAAATTAAGTTTTTTAAATCTAAATAATAACTTTGGTTAATCAAAATAGCTAGTTTTTTATTTTATGGAAATTTATTGGTTGTCGCCAATGTTTTCCAACCTTTTCCAATAACAGGTATTAGTTTCAAAGCCATGCCCTTATGGAATAAACCAGGCTTTTATGGAAAAAAAGGTTATGGCTGAAAGTTTGTTCTAGGTAGTTTATTTTCACTATTTTGTTGTGGGACTATAGTTCCTTCAGGTTTTATGGACCTCTGTTTTGTATGTATTATATTTAATCACTATATATTATTGCCGAAATTAATAGTTTTATTAGTGTCTTTTGGAGCGTATTTGACACAAAAACCTTGGCAGCCATTGTAACCGAGGTATTGGCAAGAAAGAGTCTCACCTTTGCTTTATAAGAAAACGTGAGCAAAAGTGAAACTTATATCGTACGTACGTAAACTTCATGTTATGTAATATTTAAACATACTTAAAAATATATCAAGTTTTTCAGTTTGACTTTCACTTATAAACTGCATTGCGTCAACCTCTTCTCAATTTCTCATCTTTAGCACCTATTTCCGCTAAAAACAACTTTTATATAGTTTTAAAGTTTCGATGAACAACATGCCAGCATGGCCGAGTGGTTAGCGCGCTGAGCTTCTGAACAAGAAAGCCGTGGTCTGAGTCCAACCACTGGTGACTTTTTTTTAATTTTTAAAAATTTTTAACATACTTGTGAAGTTTTATAGAGATTATATACAAACATATCTAAAGATTAACTTTAACAAACGAAAAGATTTTTAAAAAAGCTAAAAATTCAAAAAACATTTAAAAACGGGGGGATATTTATTGCGTATGTGTCATGGTTGAGATACTTATTTTAGTTTTACGTTTCAAGTTTTTTTACAACTAAGTTGAGTTTGTGCAAGAAAAATGAGTATACAAAATCTTTATATATAGAATATAAAAACTATAGAACTTTAAAGTTGTTTTGTTTGGCATTTTAAATAACAAAAATTAAAAAAATAAAGCAAGCTGATGACTTGAACTTGCCATACGGCGACCTTTACTTTTTTTAAACAGTATGGGGGTTTAAAAAGTATAATTTTTATAAAAACATAATTAAAAATTCTAATTTTATATTTAAACTAAACCATTTTATTAAACTATTTATTTTTAAAAATAATTAAAAGTTAAAGTTATTTAATATTAATATGATATGGAAATTTAGAGTAATTACAGCTATTTTACCACGCCCCCGTTAAACATTCAAAACTGAGTGCGCAACAACGACAGAATTTAGATAACCATCGAAATAGTATTTACTTCATTATTTTTTACTTCATTGTTTTTTACCTTTATTTCATTATTTTTGGCTTTATATACTTTTTGGCTAATCCTTTATCTAAACTTTAAAATAAGGGATCGTCCATAAATTACACAACGCTTAATTTCACAATTAAAGAAAACAAAAATGATCAATATTTTTCCTCGCAGAGTTGTATAAATAAAAAATCTATATAGCTCATTAAGTTTAATGAAAATCGCCATCCTGAAGAATTGAAGATCTCTTCTACTTTTTTAAAAATAAATTTAGCGTTGCGTATTGGGCAATTCCTTAGCGTTTTATAGTCTATAGTTTATAATGCTTTAAGATCTTCTTAGTTCTACTATTTTATTATAAAATAATATTGCTATTATAAAATAATTCTAAACTGCGATACTGTTATAAAATTTTTGCTATAAATATTGCTATAAATGCAGCAAGAATGAAAATTTTTCAAAATTTTTTAGGGGATGTTTTAAATCCCCCAAAACAACACTGGCGACAGTGCACTAAACTCTGCGTTTAGGAGAAAACCAAACCTAATTATAAATCTCTTATAAGGGGTCGTCCATAAATTACGTCACGCACTAGGGGGGTGGGGGGTTAGTGATTTTGTGACAATTTGTTACGAGGGGGAGGGGGGGTATCCAATTTTGTGACACAACAATTTTTTATATAAATAATGTAAGCATTAGTTGATGATTGTTGTTATAAATATGATAATTGTAAGTTGCTAAATAAATATGACAGAACTGATTTTTAAATTGTAAGAACGGCTAAGAATTAACTAAATCAAATACTTTGAATATCGGACTACTTTATTTGTCATTAGAAGCAAAAAATCTATTCAAATAAACAAAACTTTGAAAAGGGGGTTGTTAACAAATTACGTCACCCAATTTTCTACCTTTTTAACTCTTATTCTCTAGTCAAATCATTGTAACTTTTATCACAAAACTGTTTTCACAAAACCACTAATCCAATCCCCCCCCCTTCCTCCTATATCCCTAAACCGTGACGTAATTTACCTCCCGGTTCATATAACTCAAAGATTATTTACATTTAATGTTAAAATTATTATATAAAATAATGTAAAGGTTTATTATATTTTATGTAAAAAACTCAAATAAAAAAAATTAAATTTTTTTTCCGCCTATTCAAAGCAATTTTAATCCCCTAACAAGCTAATAGCTCGTTAAGGAATTAAAAATTGCTTTGAATAGGCGGAACCTTCTTATCCGGTGGCTCACAGTGTTGCGATATTTAAAACATGCGCTTTTAAAAATCAAATTCTACATATAATCTTCTCTACCTGTTGTTTTGTCAAAGTAATTTATTTGTTGTTTTGTCTTTCAAAATCGAATAAAGAATCTTTATTTTTATTTTTTATTTTTTATCGTTAACAATTTTTTATAATCAAATTAAAAAATGGATCGAGGCGTTTTATACAAAGAACTATACGAAGGATTTGTAAAAGCTTATGGCCATTCTAAGTCAAAACAAAACTGCCAAAAAGAAATAAATATCATATGGATTGAAATTAAAAAATGATGAAAAACTTCTTGAAAAAGTAAAAGAATTATTAAACACATATTCAACAAAAGCAATGAAAGTAAAAGGAAAGTTGTTTAATTACTGGTCGTCAACTGCAACAAAATCCTCAATTTCTCATGACAAAGAAAACAAATCAAATCTTGTTGAAGTTGATAAATCAAAAGCTTTATTCCACGTAGCCTCTGATGAAATTGACTTTGTAGCAGAACCATCTCAAGTAACCAAATCAAGTACTACAGATTTAATTGTGCAATGTGTTAAGACGGAGATAAAAGTTCAAGATTTACTAAAACAAGAAATTAATTTGATTAATGGAGATTTGATTGGGTTGATAAAGAGAAAAGAATGCAGACAGTTAACATCGGCACAAGAAAATGAGCTTATAGAAAAGAAGAAGAAAAAAGAACTAGAAAAGAACTTAAAGAAGAAAAAAGATTCAATGTTGAGTAGCCGGAAGTTCAGAAGTAATAGGAGGGAAGCATTAAAAAAGCTATGCAAATCATCTCCATCAGCAAAAAAGACTCTTCACCTTCAAATGACAAGTGGGGGTCCACGAATTGAAAAAGAACAACCGGATTTACTAAAAACTATTTGTGACATTGCTCTTTACGGTTCAGCAGCTCATGAAAAAAGAAGAGATGCTGTTGTTAGAAGTACAAAAACGTTAAGTGAATTAGGAAACTAAATTTTATTTTTCAGCTAGGTTTTCAAGTTAGTAGAAGCGGTTCTTATCTTCGATTGAATCCAAGAAACAGCGCAACTCAAGAAGGGAAGAGGTATATAAAAACTGCCCCAGTTAAGTTAATTAGATCCCAAAATGATAAACATGCCAAACATATTGATAGGAAATTCTGTACAGAAACAATCAGGCCTCTTGAAGAGATATCATCTCTCTTTGGTCCAAAAGAAGTTTTTTTTCTCAGTCAGGACGGCAAAGCCAGGGTAATATAAGTTTTTTTATTTATTTAACTTTTCATATCAAGAAAAATTTAATCTGCATTATTATCACATTGTTTTAGGTTCCAATTGGATTGACTGCTGCAAATAAGCAAGCACCGTTGCTTATGCATATGGAGTATAGAGTTACTCTACGAGATCATGACTGGGTTATTGCTAATAAACACAAATTGATCCCATCTGTGTACGCTGCTATTGAAGTGCACTCAGATGGTTTAGGGAAACCGAGTTTCGTAGGTTACTCCAGCCCTACATATATAGCTGTTAGATCTGGAAAACACTCGTCATCGACTGCGTTATCTCACGCTCTTGATTTTAATAAATTAATTGACTTAAAAGAATTTCAGGATTTTTCTAAAAATGGTTCTTTTGTTAAACCAGTTGTTATCTTGACTGTAGATGGAGGTCCAGATGAGAACCCTCGTTATCAAAAGGTATTCTTTTAAGTAAATAAATTATATTAGCTTAGTTAATCCCATAATAAATTAAATATTTTTTAAAGGTAATTGAGGTAGCAGTTCATCATTTTCTTGAGCATGATCTAGATTGTCTATTTTTGGCTGCAAATGCACCAGGAAGGAGCGCTTTTAATCGAGTCAAGAGAAGAATGGCACCATTAAGTCGTGAACTTTCAGGCGTGATCCTACCTCATGATCATTATGGAAATCATCTTAACAATGCTGGTTTTATGATAGATAATACTCTTGAAAAGATAAATTTCCAGTATGCTGGTGAAACTCTTGCGGAAATCTGGTCTAATGTTTCAATTGACAAGTTTCCTTTAGTTGCTGAATTTATTGTTCCAGAAAAATCAGAAATCTTATCTAGTACTTTAAAAACCAAGGACAGCTTCTGGTATGCTCGTCATGTGCAAACAAGCCAGTATTTTCTCCAAATAGTTAAGTGTGAAAATCGGAATTGCTGTAAACAACCAAGAGGAACATGTTTTACAGCCATGCCTGATCGTTTTTTTCCACCATTGATACCGCTATCACAACTCCCAGAGGGACGGCTCCAAGTTACGAACGCATTATGCCATAAGAACCACAAGTTTCCGTCCCTTTTTGTTGGAAAAACCTTAAAGATGATATTATGTCTCACCTGACAACGGTTTATAGAGTTTTACCTTATGATCTTTTTGTCCATCTGTGCAATCTCTTCTTAAGAGTCGATGTTGCAAAAAATGTTCAATGTATTTTGCATCCAATGTGTTGTTGAAAAAACACGTTACTGTCCATGTAAATTCAAAATCACCAATCGATGCTGCTTCTGACATAATCAGGCAAGTGCCTACTTGTTTTGCTGCTCGTCGTCAAACTGAGCTTATGGCAATAACTTTGTTTGAGGAAAACGGAGAGCATATCGATTGGATTGAAGAAAATGAATTAGATCTATCTAATGTTCAAATCATACCAAAATAAGATGTAGAAAAAAATCTTTCCTTGTCACTTTACACAATGGATGAACACTTCTGCTCATCTTGGACAAATGCTAAATAATATATTATATGTATGGTAATTTTAAAGATGAATTTGATAAATTTCGTTTGTAAAAAGTTGTTTTTTCTAAATTTTATTTTTATAATTATATTTAAAAAACCTTTGAATGTATTAAAACAAAGGGAAGTAAGCATGCTCACTGTTTATTTGAAAATGCAAAAAACTAAGCGCTATTCTTTAAAAGTTATTGTTTTGAGTTTTATTGTGACGATTTGCTACAAGAGGGTGGAGGTACACAATTTTGTGACGCAGCAATTGTATAGGCGTTGTCCACAAATTACGTCACGCAATTTTTGAGCGTTTTAACTACCTCCCCCTCCCGTCACAATATCGTAATTTTTTAGTAATAAGTGCCATAATTACATAAATTAGAATGGGTTGTTAATAAACATAATTTATTAACAACTCATAAATAAAGGGGCTTTAAATATATGCTAAACACTCCCAAAATTGCGCGTATGTTGCTTATTCACCATTATTAATGTACCATATAAAGGTGAGTTTCCACTCATCCGTTTTTTCACAAGAACGGGATAGGAAAGGGATAAATAATCACGTGATCATGCGTAGTTTTTCTTCAGACATATTAAAAGTTATTCTACGCATGCCCACGTGATTATTTTTCCCGTCCCTTTTCCGTTCCCGTGAAAAAACGGTTGAGTGGGGAAACTCACCTTAATCTTTTTTTTGAACTTAAAAAAACTTAAAGTCTAGGTTGGTGGGCGTAAAACTTTAAAATTGAAAAACTGTTGGAGATGTTTATTTGGCAACATTTCAAATTAAACAACCTTTTTTTTTTTTTTTTTTTTTTTTTTTGTGCCGTTTCATATATTTACAATAAAAACATATTACATTTATAAAAATTGGCCGGAGCAAGAAGAAGACAATGACTGCCTTCTCACCGAGCCCCGTTTACAAATTGCCCGTGTTTATAAACAAATATGAATAAAATATACAAATTTTTCTAAAGAGTAACGTTCTTTATTAAAGTTTTGAATAAAATTTTTCCATAAAAAGGACCTCGATATTAAATTCGATAAAAATTTATTTTTAAATTAATTCTCGGAACAATAAAGTTATCCTCTGAAAACTTTGTTGGATACTTATAAGATATTTCGCTAAAATAAGATTGAAATATAAGTCCATGTTTCATTTTAAACATGAAAAGTAATGTTTGGTAAATGTTTATTTTATAAATGTTTAAGGCCTTGAGACGATTTAATAGCGGTTCGCAATAAACAGTTCTGTTTGCCCCAAATTCAATCCTACAAGCATGCTTTTGTTTACAATAAAGTTTTTTGAGTTTTCCGTAATTCGTACTTCCCCATGCAATGTTGCAGTAAGAAAGATAGCAATATTATCAACTTTATTTGGTTTGTGGAACAGGGTGAATTTAGTTTTATTTACATTTAGTGAAAGGCGGTTACTTATAAACCATTCATTTACTTTAGATTATTCTTCATTAAAAATTTTAAAAAGAATTTTTATATCTCTGTGTGAATAAAACAGATTGGAATCGTCAGCAAATAATATAAGATATAACTTTTTAGATGCTAAAAATAAGTCATTTATCTACACTAGAAACAATAATGGTCCTAAGATAGATCCTTGAGGAACCCCGCAACTTATAAGTTTTTTTTTGGTCTCATTTGTTTGATAGGTTATGCATTATATTCTGTTAGTAAAGTAGTTTTTACCTTTCTAGGTAAAAACTACTTATGATTGTATTTGGGGCAAACAGAACTGTTTATTGCGAACCGCTATTAAATCGTCTCAAGGCCTTAAACATTTATAAAATAAACATTTACCTAGTCAAGTAGTTTTTACCTTTGTCGTGGACAGATCAACAGTTGTTGATCTGTCCACGAGACTAATTTGACGGTTTATTAAAAATGTTTTATTTTAATTTTTCGTTGAATAGTTTTTTTATTATCAATAATAAATCTGTACTCCGTAAAAATAATAATTTGTACACGCGTACGAATAATAACGTTGATTTTAAACTGTAACAATTAATTAATAAAAAACTGCTTCGTAAATTTTTATTATTATAATATAAAAAACATTTTTTAAAAATTGTATTGTTTTTTTTTTTTGGGAGGGGGAGTAGAATTTGTTGCGTAATTTAGGGGGGGGGGTCAGTTAAGCGTTACGATCTGTGACAAGGGGGGGGGAGGGATTCAAAATTGTAAAAAACTGCGTGACGTAATTTATGGACGACCCCTAAGCTCTAGGTATGCTGAAAAGGTGCGCATGTTAGCTTTTCCGCTCTTAAAGCAATTTTTTTAAATTAATTATTTTACGTAAAAATATTGAAGTAAACAAATAATAAGTATAGGTATGATCGGTGTTGAATAGATAAGTATAGAAATGGTAGATTTGGTAAAGACCCATATAATTTATGGGTCTGGAAAGCTAAGATATATATATATATATAAAGAAAAAGTATAGAAAAATTCAGTGTGGAATAGACTTACAATGACCCGTATTTTTACGGGTCAAATCAGCTAGTTTATTAATTTAATTTGATTTAAAGAGATTAATGAAACATAAAAGTTGCTGACGAAGCTGCAAAAATAATCTTAGAAGATATTTTCCTGGAAACAGCAGAGATTTATCTGACTATTCAGATGATGATGAGAATTTCGAACTAGATAAACTTCAAGCTGAACAACAGGGTAATGATAACTTATCTATCAAGCAAGTTGAAGTAAATGTTTCTGAATATGAGTCATCTGATTTTTCATATGATGGTAATATCTGTGATACTCATAATATTTTTTCAGGGGAGCAAGATTGATAAAAATGAACTTCTTTCAAGCCTCAATCAACCTGAATGTGCCTTTTTACTTATTAACTCAAAATGCTTTTTTGTTTTGTTTATTTTTCATCCATTAGAAGCTCATGGAGAATAAATAGATATATTCTCAATGAGTTTTTCTGGATGTGAATGTACATATACATTTACTAGCCAAATAACATTTATAATATGTTTCTTATTATTCTTCATTATAATTAAACACATGATTTCAATTTGTTTTACAATAATATTTTAGGAACTATCGAAGTGCATTTTGCTGACTGACAAAAACCAATTAATTACTTTTTTAAATATTTTGATAATAAAGTAATGGATTTAATCTTGTTCCAAAGTAATTTGTATATCAATCAGACACAAAAAACAGTTTTTGCGTTGTCAAAAGCTGAATTATTCGCATTTATGGGGATTAACATGGTGATGGGGTATCACATGAGTTACCATCATGGAAACATTATTGGAATGGCGAACAAGATTTGTCTGTACCGTTTATCTAGAAATAGATTTTTACAGATACTATTTACTATCCATGTCAATAACAATAACGCAGTTCCAGATACCAATACTGATAAACTTTATAAAATGCAACCACTAATTGTCAGCTTGAATAAAAAGTTTACTGAATTACACAGTGTATTACGTTCCGTTAGTATTGATGAAAGCATGATTCTTTTTAAAGGGTGCAGCTCATTAAAGCAATGCAATCTTATGAAACCAATAAAAAGAGGTTATAAATTTTGAGTTTATTAAGGAAAGGATAGTTGTAGAATTGATCCTGCTATGCCTAAATATTTTGGTTTAGGAGAAAATGTCATTTATCAAATGAGAAAATCATTGCAAGGAAAGTTTCATGAAGTTTTTATTGATAATTATTTCACATCCGTTCCGTTCATGAAATACTTACTCTCTCATCAGGTTCTAAGTTGTGGAAATTTGCGTAAAAAAAAAAAGTACCTGCCACAAGACTTGTCAAAAGACAGGTGTCTACTGCGAAGCGACTTTGATTATCGAACATCGAAAGATGGAATTGCAGTTTTTAAATGGAATGATAACAAACCTGTTCATGTCATTTCAAGCTATCATGGAACAGATACATCAGAAATAAAAAGAAAGAACAAGGATGGAACCGTATCAATGATTTGTAGTCCGAAAGCAGTAAAAGATTATAACACCTTTATGGGAGGTGTTGATAAAGCTGACATGCTTTGTTCGCTATATGGCACTTCTAGAAAATTCAAAAAGTGGTAAAGTCGCTTTTTTTTTTGGTTTTGTTGACCGAACAATATGTAGTGCTTATGTTGTTTATAAAAAAATGTCCAATGAAAATATAAATCTTCTAGACTTTCAAAGATCAGTTGCACTATCCATGGTTATAAAAGGAGAGCCACCAAATCTTGGCAGACTAATGTCATCATCTCCTTCCAACAGACTTACTACTAACAAAAGAATAAAGTCAAATTATTCAGTAGTGCCATCAATTCGTAAAGAAAATCTTGGAATTCATTGGCCACAGCACGACGGAAAACGAGGAAGGTGCGAAATCTGTTCAAAAAAGAAGATTGAAGCCAGGCCATTTTTCAAGTATAGCACTTGTAAAATTTTCTTATGTATAAACGATAAAAGAAACTGCTTTAAAGAGTTTTATGAGTGAACAATTTTATTTGTAGTTTGTAAATAGTATACAGTTTTTTGTTGGTTTAGATAATGCCTGTCAGGACCTATTTGTTCCATAGTAATTTTTAAGACAAAATAAAAAATAAAAATCTTTTTTTTTATGTAGATTCATCACAAATTAAAGAAAAAATAAATTTAAAAAAAAATCATTATCACACTTTTGGACCACAAAGGGATTTAAAAAAAGTCTTTAAAAAGCAGAATTGCATTTAAAATGCGTCATTTAAAAATTATCGGTTGCATTAATACTGTTAAAATTTTACTCCCTTACAGAATTTTTCTACATTTCTTTACTGATTTTTTTCAGCGATGCTTAGCGGGTTTTAAAATTAAATTAAAAAGAAAGCGGATGTAAAAAACAACGTTTCAATTTACGAATTTATTTACATATACATTCTAGTCGATATTCGCAAAACACAGGCATAAACTAGCTGAACATTAACTTTTCGGTCATTACCTAACCTATTTATTGCCTATTTTTTGTCTTGGTCTATTTTACAGTATGCGTGTTTTGTTATAACATGCTTGATATTTTGCACACTATTTTATTACCTAATGTTTATGTACTTTTATAATATTTTAAATTTTTTTCTAGATTCTTCTACTTTTGTATCTACGGACAATGAAAAACAAACCTTAAGTCATTCTAAAGTATTTTTGCAGTGTTTAATGTTTCGAAAAGTTGCTTATCAGCAAACAATTCATATTAAACATTAATTTTAGGTAAAAAAATCTATAAATAATTGATAAATTATTGTAATAGATTTATGAAAATAAATTTTTTTATTTTTTATTTCTAAATAACCTGAATAATCATAAATTTTGCTAATAATTTGCGATCAAAAAAATATGGTGAAAATTTATTAGAACATTTTAATATTTTTATTAACGTTCAAAAATAATGTCGTTATTTTTAAACTGTTTTGACTGTTGCTCAGGCATTTCGACGGAATCTGATGTATTCTCTTCAGGCATTGTACGAAATTCATTTTGTATCGATAATCGTGGTTAAACGCCGGTTTGCTGAATAAGTGCGAGCTAACTAAAGGTGAGTTTCCACTCATCCGTTTTTTCGCGGGAACGGGAAAGGGAAGGGAAAAACAATCACGTGGGCATGCGTATTATAAGTTTTAATTTGTCCGAAGTAAAACTGCGCATGCTCACGTGATTATTTTTTCCTTTCCTGTAAAAAAACGGAGGAATGGAAACTCACCTTTAAGTGCGAAAAGGTGAGTTTCCATTCCTCTTTAATTTTCCATTAAGGTTGCAAAAACTAGCATAAGTGCAAACTGGTATAAATGCGAAGTAGTTACAAAAACTGGCACAATTACAAACTTGCATAAGTGCGAACTGGAATAAGTGTGCCGAATAAATTAACTAACATTAGCATAAGTACGAACTGGCATAAGTGCAAACTAGTTACAAAAACTGGCTAGTGTTGAGATTCCGCTGTTTTTAACAATCCCTGGATTAAGCATTTTTTTAACAATCACGAAATCCCTGCATTTTTCTTCAAATCGTTTTCGGTTGAACATTTTTAAATTAAAATTTCTTCGGTTGAGATATGACTATTTTCATATTGAATATTCCTGAATAATTTTTTTCGTTTGATTACAATCAAATTCGAAATTCTTGCAATTATGCTTATGAGTAATTGGATTTGGTTTATTATAATAAATTAAATTGGATCGCAATTACATTCTTAAAATTTGTTGGTGCTTAGTCGCTTTTATTCAAGTTTCTTTCAATTTTTATATCGATTAAACGTTATATTGGTGACTATCAAATAGTCACCAACAAATTTTGTTGGTGACTATTTGATAGTCAGTTTTCGACAGTTTGGAAACATCTTACGAGAAGAAAAAGGGCAGACAGTGATATGTAAAATCAAAATGTTAACCAATTATTTTCCGATATTGAAGCCAGGAAAAAAATCACTTCCTGCAAAACTTGCACGATTACCAGCCCTTGATGGGATTTCGTTCAACGTTATATGCCGTTCTAGTGATATACGTGTAGATCTTATAGCTACATGGTTCAAAAGTACAACAGTCAACAAAGTGCGTAAAATGGTTGAAGATTATAGCAAAAATATTAGGAATTTTTTAATTACTGAAATATCCGAAATATCCAAAAAAAAACAACTGATGTTGGTGTAGGAGAAAGACTTTCTTCATCTTTTGATGAATAGACATCACTACGTAACTGTTGCTACATGGATATTAATTTGCATGTACGAAATTACCAGTTCTGGAACTTAGAATTACTTTCTATAATATGATCTGCAGTGTACAATATGTCTGCAGTGTATTGAGCTATTAGAGCAAAAGCTTAACATGGACTTGTTTTGCGAAAAGATATTGTTGGTATTATGACTGACGGAGCAAGTGTGATAAAAAAAGTTGGGAGAATATTACCTGTAAATCAATGTTTTGCCCATAGTGTGCAACTGGCCGTTTCTGAAGTAATATAACAAAAGCAAGATATAGAAAGAGAAGTACATCAATAATTCGGCGAAGACAAACAACCAGATATCAAGGACATTTTTTCAGAGAATAACTTTGGCTAGGTTGATGATTTTTCTAACAAAAAAATCATCATCCTTGCAAGATCTTGATGCTATTCATAATTGGCAAGACTAGATGGAACAGTCTTTTGTCAACGCTTCAACGCGTCTATTTATTGAAAAATTGTATTCAAAAGGCACTAATAGACATAAGTCTACCGGAAGGTGAATCTTTGGCTTTATATAATAATGAGATTAAAACTGTATCTATCTATTAATCCAAGTAAAAGCAACAGTTGAGGCCCTTTGCCGTCGGAATGTGATATTGTTTACAGCCAATGTTGGCATAACTTTTATGTTAAAAATATTTTAAGGTATTAACAATAATAAAGCTATATAAAAAAGCACATTTGTCCAGCACACCAGTTTTTGAAAAGAGCGTATAATTTTTTAATGACTATTAAGTGTAGATTCTGAACTTTCTGTGGTCGGTCTTTTTGCATCAAAATCAAGAAGTCATCTGAGCGATGAAACTTTGGATGTGCTCTGTTTTCTCAAAATGTATTTTAAAATAATCAAAAATAATTACATATGTATATTATATCTATAAAAACAACGAATTCTTTGTAATTTGATATTATTATATAAGTAAGTATAATATTAAATTGATATGATAATATAAGTAATAATGTAAATTGATATGATAATATAAGTAAGTATAATATTAAAAAAACAAAGAATTTTCTTGCAATTTAATAAATATTTTTTAATTTCTTATTAATTTTATTAAAACTTTACTCAAATAATATATCAAAACTTTCAAGAACAAAGTATTTAAAAATTCCGGGATTAATCCCGGAATCCCTGGATTAGGCAAATCTAATCCCGAAATCTCGGGATTGAAAATATAGCTCGGGATTACAAACCCCAGAATTGGCATATGTATAAACTGGTATAAGTGCTAAGTAGTTGCGAAAACTGGCACAAATGCAAACTGGCATATGTGCGGCACTGGCATATTGGCATAAGTAGGCCGAACAAATTTGAAAAAATTGGCATAAGTGAGAATTGGCGTAAGTGCAATCTGACATAAGTTTCACACTTATGAAATTTGCGCTTATTCAGCCTCCCAATTTTAACCTATGTGCAAATTGGTATTTTGCACTTATGCCAGTTCGCACTTATGCCAATGTTAACAAATTCTTTTGACGCACTTATGCCAGTTCGCATTTATCCCGATTCGCACATATGCCAGTTTTTGCAACTGCTTCGCACTTGTGCCAATTTGCATTTATGCCATTGTTTGCAGTTTTATTCGGCGCACTTATGTCAATTCGTACTTATTACAAACTCTCAGTTATTTTATTTACAATTTTGCTGCGTCATTATATGAATCAGGAGATTTAACACATCAATATTACATATCATATTAATTAAATACAATGGCCTTTAAAAGCTATACAAGCTAGATCGTCCTTTATATCTCTTATTTTGTCTTTTAAAAGACAGAATATCAAAGATTTGTGTGGAAAAATTAGATTTATAATTTGCTTAAATTGTTATTATTGCTTAATTTATTATCAACTTATCCTTAAACGCAATAAATGAAAAAAACGAAAGAAACACTTTTAATTACTGAAATCTATTTAAATATTCTTCCTTTCAGACAACAATTTTAAGGAAAGACTCATAATTGCTCTCGTTCTCACATAATGTTAAACAAAAAAGTTTACAAGATTGCCCTAATTATCTCTAACGGAAAAAACTTGCTTTGTGTTTGAATCCTTTCGTAAATAAACTTGGCTTTTTTGTTATAACTTCATTACTTTGAACGTTTATCTTTAACGAATCCGTGTGGTCAGTAATTTTGGCATAAAAACCTAGATTAGTAATTCAGTCAATATTTAAGTCAATAAATAACATTTATTGTTTTGGCAATTTTTGCAAATGTTGGAACACAGAAGTCTGTTCTCACAGTTTAAATTCCCTGTTGAATATCTTTTCACAGGTAATCCTGTGTACTTCGACAATGTTTGCAAGTATTTTATGTACAGTCTTTAATTACTCTAAAAGAGATTTCAGTTGACGGTTAAGGAGTGAACTCGAGAGTTTTTACTGAAATAATTGTTGATCAATAGTTGAAAAATATCAAATGTATTTAATAGTTCCTAAGCTTTCGACACAGTAAACCATGAAATACTAAACAAAAATACTTAAAAAAAACTAGAACACTACGGAATTAAAAACCAAAACTTAATATAATTTAAACAATATATGATTAACATAGGAACCAATTTATATCTAAAGAACCAATGTTTAAAAAAACCGTATAACTTGTGGGATACCTCAAAGTTCTATTTTAGAAACATTATTGTTTTTTTTATATTTTTATATAACTTTTTTTTATTTTTACGTAAGTTAATGTATTTTTATATAAATAACTTATATTTATCTAAAATATTAAATACTATCTTATTTGCAGATTTTATTCTCATAATCATGTTAAGATTTTTTTTTTTTAAAGTTTAACGAAGAATTAAATAAAATTAACGAGTGGTTTATAAGTAACCAACTTTCATTAAATCTCAACTAAATTTATCCTATTCCATAAACCTAATAAAATCTGACTAATAAAGCCGATAATCTTCCTATTAAATTACCCGATTTTTTGATCAATAAAATAATAATTGAACAAGAATCAACCATAAACTTTCTAGAAGTTATTTTGAAAAAAAAAATTGTCTTGGAATTTTCGTATTAAATATATTGAAAGTAAGGTCTGAAAAAAATTTCCATGTATATAAAACCTTTTCTTAATAATGTGTAATTAAAAAAAACTATAGTTTTTGTTTATACACAGCTAATTTTCTTACTATAGCATTGTCTTGGAAAGTACTAATCCTACTAAAATAAAATAAAAATTTATAGAAAACAAAAACTTTCTTGCAGGGTTTGGAATTAACAGAAATGCTTATTGCAAATCTCTCTTCCGTAAGCTTCAAATATTTATTACGTAAGCTAGGGCTTTAAATATTTATAAGCCTAAAGTTCACCATGTGGTACTATTTATGTTTAAAGCTTAGTGTGGCTTATTTCGAATATTTTTTAAAACTTAGTTTAACATAATTTCTCATAAATATCTGACCAAATTTTTTCTGTGACTGGGATAACGATATTTTTAAACTTGTGCGTGTTTTCAAGAAGTTCTCGATTTGGAACAACTGTATAAGCTCAAATTTTATAAGTGCGAACTGGCAAAATTGCGAACTGCG